TAATTTCATTAAAAGTATATATTCTACAGCTTTTAAAATACCATAACATTCCCCGGTAAAAACTGAAGACTCCGGTGGAAGTTTAATTTTTTGAACGATATTAAATTGTGAATGAAACACACCCACACCTACACAACCGCTATTGTCTGGTTTTGATGCATCAGTAAAGATGTAGTGCCATTCATTCCATTCAATGTCAGTTATAAACATAAATTTGGCATTCAATTCTGAATCATTTTTTAATAACCCAAAATCATATTTAATATTAGGAGATAAAACTAAAGATTGATATGAGCATTTATAAATGGGAAAACAGGACGATGTAAAAGTGGGAGATTCTATGGATTTATATTTTTCATAACTTTGTATTAAACATGGAGGTTTTTTATGTTTCCAATAAGATGAAGACGAAATAAAGATATGTAGTTGAGATAACTTTTGAATAAGCGGATGATCAGATAATTGTAAACAACGAAAAAAGAAGCGATCAGATAGATATTGTCTTCTTAAAACCAAAGGTGGATCACCGACTTCGAGCTGTAAAGCATTGATTGGACTTGATTTCATTGCTCCAGAGATAATCCTCAAGGCCTTTGATTGAATTAAATCCAATTTCTTAAAAGCAAATGAACTTCCTGGAGCTAACAAAAAAGTTCCATAATCAATGACACTCCTTATAAGACCATTATAAGCAAGTTTTAGTGAAACGGGATGTGCTCCCCACCAAACTCCAGCAAGGCACCTAAGAATGTTGAGGTTACGCTCACATTTCGTAGAAATATAATTACAGTGGGACAGACCTGTTAATTTATTATCTAGCACGATACCTAAAAATTTAATTTCAGTCTTTATAGGAATGTATGAGTTATCATAAAGCACCTTAATTTGTTGCGGTGATCTCATTCTTGAAAACAAAACTACACTACTCTTGGTTACAGAAAGATTAAGACCATTTGCATCTAACCACGTTTTTAACAAATCTAATGAATCAGATAATTTGGCAGAAGCAGATTCTATGGACTTCGCAATAAAATATAATAAAAGATCATCAGCATATTGTAAAATTTTGACGGATTTATCAAGGAATAATTCTAGATCGTATGTGTATATGTTAAATAAGATTGGACTGAGAACAGATCCTTGTGGAAAGCCTTTCCATACTGTTCTAGATAATTTGGTATCTTCATCTAAATTCATATATATTGTTCTTTCTGATAAAATATTAATAATGAAATTAGAAAGCATTACCGGTACATTTAGAGCTTGTAATTTAGTTTTTAAAATAGAAATTATTACATTATCATAGGCAGAATTTATATCTAAAAAGGCTGAGAGGATTGACAAATTTTGTGAGAAAGCTATATGAATATCTGAAATAAGAATGCTCACATTATCTAAGGTGCTCTTACCTTTGCTAAAACCAAACTGGTTCGGGGATAGTAAGTTATTACTTTCTAAAAACCATTCTAGACGGTTCTTCACTAAATGTTCAGCTAGCTTTAGTAAGACAGAGGAAAGTGCAACAGGACGGTATGAAGATGGTTCAGAAGGTGGTTTATGAGGCTTTAGAAATGGTATAATAATCTGAGACTTCCATGAAGTAGGTATATTTCCCGAAATAATTATGGAATTAATTATATTTAAAAAGTAAATTAATGTCGCATCGCTAGCATTTTTAAAAAGGAATACGGTATACCGTCTTCTCCCGGTGCAGAGTCTTTAATAGAAGCTAGAACACCTTTAAGTTCTACTAGAGTAAAAGGAGAGTCAAGTTCGAATAATTCGTCAGAGACGGATAGAGAAATATTGTAAAGGCATTCCGGCACATAACTAGGAGCAAGGCGATCTAAAAATTTATTCGCTAAAGTTAAATCGAGTGCAGAACGTGATGTATGATCACTAAAGGCAGATCTGAATCTTTTAATATTATTCCAAACGACTGATGAATTAACTTCTGGACAGATAGAAGAACAAAATCTTCTCCAGCCTTCTAATTTCTTTTTTTTCAGTAGTTTTCGAGTAGAACGTGAAACTGCGGTGTAAATTTCAAAATTTTCTGGTGTCATGTAATTATTATAATTTTTTTCAGCCTCTTTACGATTTTTAATTGCTTCCGTACAATCTTTGTCCCACCAAGGTGGCGAGGGAATTTTCCCTGAAGCACTATTTTTAACAGGAAATAATAAATCAGCAACCTCCTTCATATTTATCATCAAGTCATTACAACATTGATGTTCATTTCCATGGTAAACAATAGGTAACTCCGATATTTTATTATCTAAATATTGTTTGTAAATATTCCAGTCTACATTTGATAAATTATATTTAAGCCGAGGACCACTCTTTCGACTTGAGGGAATGGAAATTGGAAAAGAAAGAATGAGGGGAAAGTGATCGCTTCCGAAAGTAGAGGAATGAGGATACCACGACAGTGAAGAAGCTAAATCAGAAGAACATATTGAAATGTCAGGAGCACTAAACCCTTCATTCGGTGCAGTTCTACGTGTTGGTACATCTGAGTTAATAATACATAAGTTGTAAGTGTCAATTATCGTCAGGAGTTTTCCACCATAAAAATTAGAAGTAGAACTGCCCCACGATTGGTGTTGAGCATTAAAATCGCCCATTACGAGAAAAGGTTTAGGTAAAATTGAAAATAATTGTTCTAGTTGTGAATATATTTGGCATGTAGGATCAGGAATATATAAAGTAACAAAACAGATACCATTTATAATTATAGCAGCTGCATTAATGCCGCTATATACAGGAAGCGAAAAAGAAGAAAAAGGAAGGGAGTTTTTGACCAATATGGCAACACCGCCATATCCGTCAGCTCTATCATCACGGAGACTTGTAAAGCCTGAAATCCTAAAAGGATATCCTGGCTTTAACCAAGTCTCTTGGAGAGCTATTATAAAAGGATTATATTTATTAATCAAATAAAATAAGTCTGATTTCTTGTTTGTTATGCTACGACAGTTCCACTGAATTATTAGGACTTTGTAATCCATTGTGAGAAGTTAATAATTGAGAAAATACATTGTAAATGGCATCGTTGGACGGTGGTAAAGTTGTTTGTATCATTTTCGATTGCGATAACACTTTAATAAGCATGAGAATAATATCAAAGATGGATTGATTATTGTCAATATTATTTGATGATAATGCACAACCATTAGAGGGAGCAGGAATATTATATTCCTTAACTATGGCTTCATGGGCAGAACGATCATATCCTTGTTGTGCTTTTTGAGGAGAGCGTGGTTTAAGTGTAACTGTTTTTTTATGTGATGATTGAATATGTGGTAATGATGATTTCTCTTTGAGGAAAGAAGATTGAAAATGAGATTTATTGGACGGAGATGATGATGTTAATACATCTGAATATAGTTTAGAAGTGGGAGGATGAAATTTTGATGCTTCAGCATAAGAAACACAACTGTGGGCCATTGTTTCTTTAATGGCTTTCTGACGTGCATATTCAGGACATTTCTTACTAATTGCTGAATGAGAACCATTACACAAGATACAAGAAACATTTTCCTCATCTACTTCACATTTATCACCTGTATGATTTTGCCTGCATTTATAACACCGAGGATTTGAACGACACTGCATCTTGACATGTCCGAACCTACAGCAGTTATAGCATTGGATAGTGGGGTAAATGTACAAATCTACAGTTAATGATGTGTAAAACATAAATACTCTTTTTGGTAATATTTGTCCATCAAAAGTAATAACAATGGTTTCAGTATTAATAAAACTTGGTTGTCCTTCATTAATGGTCTTTTTCTTAATTCTTCTGGTTTTTAGAATTCTCCCACAACCTATAGGTACTGATATATTTTGGATTACTTCCTCTTCTGTCCAATCTTTAGGAATACCCCTCACAATTCCCATACGGGTTACATGGAAAGAAGGTATAAATGCCTTAAAATTATGTGTTTCTAAGTGACTATTATTTAAAAATGCATTTGCATTTTCAAAATTTGAGAAAGAAAGCGATAAACGGTTTCTTCCTATTCTTTTGAGGCTACCATTCACTATATTATTTATCTTATTAGTGTGTAAAAAGCGACCAAATGCAATAGGATGTAATGTAGTGTTATCATTAGGATGTGTTTCATTTTTTTGTACATGAACGACATAAGGAGCTACATCCTCGGCATTGTATAAAGTTCTGCTTAAAGTACTGGGTGGAGAAGCAGGTTTAACAGACTCGGTATTATTTACAACTGGTATTGATACTAGAGTTTGATTCTCATCCTCAATACATTGACAATCACTATCTTTAATTTTAGATTCGAGACCTTTGGTGTGCCTCCTTCGTTTTTTATTGCAATGTTTGCAAATGCGACGTTCGCCACGTACTCGCTTACGTTTAGAACTTGCAACGCTAGAACCATCTGTGTCCATACTAGATTCACCCAATATATCAAAACTATTATTAAATGGGATAGTTATATTTGCAGACACCTGGGGGGTTGTCCCCCCAGGGTCTATAGGTGGATCCATAATGTCTAATTAATATAGGTAATTTACTTACCAATATTTACAGCAACAAACACTATTACTACAAAATATACAATTATATATACAATCTAATACACAATATATAAATAAAACTAATCCTTATATAATTAAAAATAAAATTAATTTAAAGAAGATCAAAAAACACTCCCGCTTTTTTAAACGTTTCCCGCGCTTTTTCTCGGATCGAGTTCCCAATTATTATTTCTAATGTCAGACTATAGATACTTCCTAAAGCAAAACCTATATTTTGTGCAGTGCAAACATATATTATACTAAGTTTACGAGGCTAATATATTTAACACAGTTAAAAGCCTTTACAAAATTTTAATAATAATCTCTAATAGTTCTTTTCATAAAGAATAACTTCTAAATATGTCAGCAGCATTATATATGTATATAAAAAAAAAAACATTTTTGGTGACTCTGTGGTACAACTTTTCGTTTCGATTGAAGTGTCAAAAATGTTGACGGACTAGACATGTTATTTTACTGTCATGCAGTGTGAAACATAAATAAAACATGTTAGTTTTTCTAAAAATCATGACTTAATACTAAGCTATAAACTATTAATATGGAGAAATACATTTAAAAATATTACTGCCACTTACATATTTGTTTTAACTAATGACATTATGGATGGTTTAATTCACGCGGCATTGGAAGCTGAGGTATTTTAGATCGCACAATATTTTTACTTTTATCCTTGTAACTTAATATGATGTGACATTCATTCTTTATTTAATGAAAAACCTTTATATTTCAGTCTATATTGAACCGGGCGAAACATGTGAATAGTACTTCGTCACAATTTGACAGTGGTGCCCTAGACCATAAAATGACTTGGACCCATGATAAAATGCATCTTACTGAGTCTGTCGATGAGTCTAGAATGAAGTTTCAGAGGAATTCTGTTGGATCTACGGCATCTAAGATCGAAAAGTTTGATTTATTTAAAAAACTTCATGAATTATACAGTGATTTGAGTAGAGACGAATCATCACAAGTGAACTATGTAAGTTTCATATATTGTATTGAATATATCTTAATTTCGTATATTTATAACTGATTAGTCATATACATTGCTATTAAAGCTTAAAGTTCATTATTAATATTTAATTAATTAATTATTTACTAGTTGTACTTTTACCTGATGAGCTCTAGTCAGAGACAATGATTATGGATGGATAGATAAAGTTTCAACTGTTGTAAATGAATACTTTTCGAGTAGCAGTTTTTTTAAATACTAACATATTGATTGCTTATATCTACTCATACTTGCTCTCATATTTAAAAGGGTCTTGACTATTGTGATTCTATATTAGAGCATCATTGGATATTCAAATAACACAACCAAAATGATATACAGAAAGGTAGGTAGTATAAAGTTGATAGTGAACTTACCTTTCTATACAACATTACTAATTGTAATGTTGTATAGAAAGGTAAGATAGGTAGCAAGGTATTTTACTTTTAATACATGATTTTTATAAATCATTAAATATTTTTTAAGTGCCAGTTTTCAAATGTGTGAAATAGAAAAAGTTATGAAGAGTTGAGGGGCACCCCACCTCAAACTACTTTCTCAATAAAACTTGTGTGAGTTATTACAAAATACTCTAAATATAACAAAGAGTACTGAAAATATAATAAAGAGGCTGATGATGAATGATCAATTTATGATTTTACTATTGTTATGATTTCGGTAGCTTTTCTATTATGAAAAATAGATCTGTTATATTCTTTTTATTATAATAATCTATTTTAAATTGTTACAGCAAGGTTTAAAGACATCATCATATCTACTTGAAAAATTATTGGCAACATATAATTTAAATACTTTAATAATTAATCTGTATCCAGGAAATAAAGGATACTCATTGTCTCTTAGAGTTAATGGCAATACACAATATCTGCATCCACCAGATGCTAATGTAAGTAACTATTATATAATAATATAAAGAAGATCAACAGGATCAATGTACTGTATATTACTGGACTCATTGATTCAGTAATTATACAGTTATAAAAAAAATTAAAAACATTATAGTTTTAAAAGAATTCAGTTTAATTATTGATATGAAGGTATTTTTAATTATACATTTAACATTTTATATGTCAGGCATCTTCAGCTCAAGATGAGACATTGATAGAAACACCACGATGGCCATATGAAGAGGAAGAGCTCTTGAGTTATATAGACAATGAAGAGTTACCAGTTGTATTGCTTGACCTGTTGGAATCTGAACACTCATGCCTTTTTTACTCCGGTTGTATAATAGCTCAGATAAGGGATTACAGGCAGGCATACCCTAGTTTTCTTTGTGATACTCACCATGTCTTGCTAAGGCCTACAAATCAGGTATGCATAATAAAAAATATAGTTTAAATTGTTATTGATATATAATTTGACTAGATCACATCTTGATTAGTTTTTAAAAAAGAAAGAAAGAAATAAATATATATTTTATGGAATTTAAAATTTCCACATTAGTAGTATGTACTATTTTTGTGATGTATGAAAATCCATTCTTAAATATTTTATTCTTATTTAGAACAACAAAAATAAAGGTAGATGATGATAGTCAACTCTAAAAATATAATAATAAATAACATACGGAAGGAATACTATCCTTCCATCTCTCTCTGTAGTCGTGCCCTACTTATTTTTAAACTTACAACACAAGTGCTTTACTAGTTCCATATAAATTGTTTTCAAAACATTCTGAGCTATAATTAATATACTGGTCGTCATGTACAGAGTATAATAACGGATGCGATGTGCATCGGCGGTCGGTGCGGATGGGTGGGGGAGGAGCGTGGTGCCTTAGAAGCGCTAGAAGCGGCCCTAGTCCACGCAGCCGCGCCGCCCCTGTGCCTCGACCCGCGGCCCGCCGTCGGTCTGCTAGCCGCACGCCTGCACGCCGCGCCGCGATTACTCAACACACCGCGGATCAGGCGTCAGGCGAAACGGTTCTCGCAGGTATCATCTTCATCATCATCATCTTAGTCGTTAATTAATGGCAATTTTTTTATATTGCCGTACACTATTGTATGTTATAAAAAACTGTGTTGACTCAACTGCATTCATTGACTTTCTACAATACATTTGAGTTCGTCATTGTATTTTCGGAGGGTTTCACATTTGTTTTTTAGTATAGGGTCATTACTTGAGTTTACTTGTAATTACATGTTTCTATATAAACATGGAGTGTACATGTGTAATATTTATTAAGAACTTATACTAATTGTATGTGTGATACAGGGTGGCCCAAAAGTCCTTAGAAAAGTAAAATTTGAATTAAACGAAAACGGCGCGCGTGAGCGGTGCAGGGGAAGCGGGGACAGTAACTTCGGTTTCTGGGAATTTAGTCGCGATGGAGCGTTTCACCGGAGCGGACCGTGCGTTTTGTGTGCGCGAGTTTTATCAAAACAACAATTCGGCAACCGTTGCGAGGCGTAAATTTCGAGAACACAAAGGTTTACACAACTTTGATGACACCCCAGCTCTCCAAACAATTAAGAATTGGGTTGCTAAGTTCGAGGAGACCGGTTCGACGTTAGATAAACCGCGGTTGGGTCGCCCAAGGACATCACGTACGGAACAAAACATCGAAACAGTGGCACAATCTATTCGTGAAAATCCTACACAGTTAATTCGTAAGCGTTCCAGTGCATTAAACGTATCCAGGACATCGTTACAACGGATTTTGAAGAAAGATTTACTTATGCACCCTTACAAAATTCAGTTGGTGCAAGAATTAAAAGAAACTGATGCTATTCAGAGAGTGAATTATGTTAATGAAATGTTTAATCGGTTTACTTCGTTCAATAACATAATGTTCTCTGATGAGGCACACTTCCACATTAACGGACATGTTAGTAAACAAAATTGCCGCTATTGGAGCCCGATTAATCCAAAACTTAAGCACCAGAAGCCCTTACATAGCCCTAAAGTTACAGTTTGGGCCGCTATGTCAGCCCATGGCATCATAGGGCCTTACTTTTTTGAGGACGGCAGAGGGCGTGCTGTTACTGTTACTTCGGAGCGATATGTGGCCATGATCGAGGAGTTTTTCACACAAAAATTGCAAAACTTTCCAGGCTTTAATGCCCGAACATGGTTTCAACAAGATGGAGCAACTTTCCACACCTCCAATACTGCTATGCCCGTTATCCGTCAACTTTTTCCAAACAAAGTTATCTCTAAGAGAGGAGACATTTCCTGGCTACCACGTAGCCCGGATCTGACTCCAATGGATTTTTTTTGTGGGGCTACCTTAAGGCTAAAGTGTACGACTCTAACCCGCGGTCAATTAATGACCTAAAAGAAAACATCCGCAGAGAAATGGCAAGCATTTCAGCAGTGACGTGCCGCGCAGTCATCGACAATTTCAGAAAGCGTTTGCAAGAGTGCCGTGACTGTAACGGATTACATTTGGACGACGTTATTTACAAAAAATAATTCCCGTTTTTCTAGCTATATTTACAAATAAAAATATTATTCATAGTGTAATTAGTTTTATTTTAATTAATTTTTTATAATATCTAATATCTAAGGACTTATGGGCCACCCTGTACAAATATATATAAAATATATCTTTTGTCATAACTGTTTCTACCAAATTTTACTTTGCAAATGAAGAATGAAAGAGTTCAAATACAGTTATGAATTATTTCAATCAATACTTATTTCTTAAGAGAGGAAAGGACTGGCTGAAAATTAGCGCTGTATAGCTGTACACATTGCACTGGGGCACTTACAGCATGAGCTGAGGCAGTTCCTTTTGCCTAATATGAGACATTTATTTATGTAATATTTTTGTATTTTCTTTTATAATTGTGTTTTTCTGGCATTAAATATTTTTATTTCTATTATATTCTTATTGGAATATGATTTTCATTTAATATTTGTAGAAAAATATTTGAATATTGACAGGTAATATGATGATGATTCTGCTCTTATAGTCTAGAACTTTTTAGTTGTGTTTAGTAAATAGATAAATATTCATTTATCACTCACCTTTATAGTTATAGTGACAGTATAAAAAAATCAAACTATTAACAATTTCTTATAATTCAATTATGTTGTCAGGTTGCAGTGAATAGAAAAAGGAAATTAGATCAGTTCACACATTATCATGGACTGGAGTTGCTTGAATTAATACATAAACAGAGAGTGAAGAATAGTAGACAGTCAGTGCCTCCTACAAGATTATCATCGAAATATCCTAAGAAGCCTCCAGAGGTAACTTGCATGGTTATATATGTAATAACTTGCATAGTTGTAATAAAGGTTTTTTATTTTATTTTTTTAATTTATTAATATTAACAAACAGTAAACTCAATAATATCAACAGTATATATCTACAACAATATATTTTATTCTTCTATTCCGAGTAACATTAACCACATATTACTATATAACAAAATATATAAAATGGCAATGTGTAGTTTCTATTATATTATATTATACCAAAGCTATGTGTAAAATATATGTGTAAAACAAAAATATAAAGAGGTACTAAAATCAACACATAGTCAAGGATCCCATCAATGATCTACTCAAAACCAAAGACTTTTTGACAAAGACAAATTAGTATTATAATTATTTACCAACTATAAATAAATACAATATTAACAACAATTAAATATATTATTCCTTGACCTCAAGTAGACATTCACCAGAGGGAGACTTTGTACAAAAGTCGATTGCTTGGGTACCTCTGTCCCATTCGTGTTTCTTCCGTGAAGCAGTTGTGTTTGCATGGCTGTATTTCGGTTTGAAGGATGGGATATGGCGTGAATTTACAGGGCACAAAGGAATAACACCTGAGTCCTCAGGAATGGCAACGCATGGGGGGTATCATGGGCGAAACAGTATACTCTGTTATGTCTATGGTACTGCTCATGATAATATTTGATTTATATTATCTCCTAATTTCAATTCCATTGATATTAGTATAATATTATAAGCATTAACAATGCGATTAATTTGTGAGCGTTTACCTCTGTAAGTGAGACAAAAGGAGATAGCAACCAATCGATGTTAAGAATACAATGAAGATAGTGATTAATGATTTTTTGTTAAGGTTTTCAAGCCAGTAGAACCACCGAGAATGGATCCATTATCATTGGCTATGCCATCGGAACCAAGTGGGCCGCTTCGGGTAGCACGCGCCTATGAGCGTCCCCGGCCAACTCCAGACTGCCAACCACAACTCTTTGAAGAGTATATTCTGGAAACAGAGAAGACATCACCGCATGCTGGCGCCGGTTTCTTCCATATAAAGCTCTCGATATTGCAGAGACCGTCCGATCAAGAGTTCCTCGGTGAATTATATGTAGATAGAGATCATGTCGAGGGAGAAAGAAATGGAGCCGCATGTAGATTTACTTTAGGTATGTGTAAGATGTATGACGCAAATATTATCCTCTCTTTGGTTGTGGTTTCTACTAGATTCTAGTCTAGATTCGAGTTCTATATTGAAGCTTTTGTTAAACACATCACTCGAGTTAGGTAGAAAAAGCCAGTCAGTGATATTATCAACAATAGGTATAAAACCTATTTTCTTTTTACTTTTGCTTACTATTTCATTCTCATACACAAAAGTTTAAAAGTAAAGAAAAAAAAGCTCCTTCCTTTATTTTTAAACTTTCGGGTTTAGATAATATTTTAGGTATTATAGCAAAAAGTTTAGAAAAATAATGTTGTAATTGGTTAATATAATCTTATAATTTTTATGTAAACTTAAACATTTTCGAATGCAATGTCGCAATATCCTTTACCCTCCTTACCTATCCATATTCTCGATCAAATCTAGGAACACAAGTAGGGTAGATGGCTACAAATCAATCTGTAGGTTAACTGTGCGTCGAGCAGATTAAGTTCTACTATGATTACAAATAAATCTCCATCAGTCGCGTACTACTCAATAAGCCGCAATCTCCGCGCACCATCCGGTTAAACATTAGCAAATCAACAAAACTGTTGGATAATTTGCAGTAAAACAAGAACGCGTATAAAAAGACCAACACGCTGGGACTACGTGAACCAGGATTGTCCTTCACTCTTCTCTTTACCCAACAGTAATTTTACTTTAACATTACAACCATATTACTTTTGTAAGTGCTCAATGTAATAAGGTGATTAGGACAGTTCTTTGTGGCAGTTATGAGGACACTTATAATAATTAATAACAACTCATAAATATCTCATAATAAGGCATATATTTCTTATATTGTATTTTTTTATTATATCTTTATACAATTTTCTTGTTGTAATACGTTTTATTTTTATAGGATCAAGAGTACAAGCAAACAAATATATACAACAATTTACCGAGATATTTACAGAAGAAGGCCGTAAATCAGTCAGAATAAAGCACATTGTACCTGGACAACTTCCAAGAGTGTCATTTACAGGAAGCATGAGAGAATTGGTATGTTATTGAATGATATATAGTGTCATCATTTTTAGGTAAATAGGTAAAATACTAACTTTATAGATTATTAGCCTAGCGGTGTAGGTATTACCTTGATTTCTAGACCCTGAAGGTAGTGAAATCGTATCTAGTCGACATTAAATACTTTGTATGGTAATTTAAGAACCCGCCTAACTGTTCAGTAAGGAAGGGAGAGAGATTGTTAGTGATGGGGTCTAACAACGCCTTTGCTAGTAATGTATCCTATCAGGTTGACCTCTTCGCGGTTTCTCTTGGATACATAATATATGATATAACAGTGTATTCCGTTATCGCAGGCGAGGCTACCATTCTATTTCATCCATAAAAAAAACTGTTTAATAAAGAAAAACACTCAACGTAATTTATAACAAATGTTTAAAAGACCGCATATTTCATATTTAAATATATTATACTTACACAGTATATTATATATTGTGTTAGTAATATTTCTAGTATCATTAAAGTTCAGCGTTATTTATCTGAAACAGCATTAGGCCACATGTTAGTTATTAACCCATTAAAGTTAAAAACATCAATAAAACATTAGCAGGGTCAACAACTTATGTTACAACGGTCAGCAGCGGCGGCGGCGGCCGCCGCGGCGGCTAGCAGCGCAACCGTACACACTCACGCTACCACAGTACCTATTGTGTGAGTAATCATTCTAATTGTTAATATGAAAATTGGACTTAGTTTTCCTTCCCTTAGGATCATTCACAAAACAAAAATATTTATTTAAGAGATAGATTTAGAGAAATGGCGTCTCAAAGTCGACCCTGTTGTTTCAAAATTATGATTATGAAAAAATCTATAATTTTTTTCTGTTAGTTACTATATAAGATATATATTTCAGGACATCTGCAATTGCGCCCACACCCAACACTCATACAAACACGCGTCAGTTGCCGATCCTGGTTAGTAAATTATTATATCTATATATTATTATAATTAACTGACTTTAAAAAGAATGAGGTTCTTAATTCTTTTTTTATGTTTGTTATATATTTTACGTTTGTTACCTCATAATTCCGTCAGTTGTGAATCGATTTGGGAAAATCTTTTTTTATCTGAACGGATATAGTTACAGATTAGTCGTCTGCAAATTTTATCATAATCAGTTCAGTAGTTTAGTTTTTTAAATAAAAAAAAAATCTAGTTTTTCCACAACTGAAGTTGGTGTATTCTGTGGAACACAACTCTAAATTATTATTACTATAATTGTAAAAAGAAAATTAATATTAGAATGTTTTCGTTTTATATTTACTAAATGATCTACTCAAGTTACAAGTATTATACTTGAGTAGATCAATTACTATGATATATGCTGTCTGAAATCCTTATTCTCCTACATTTGTTGTTTTTGTATATAATTTTTTTCTATTTATGTGGTTTCATCATAAGAATATATATTCTATAATTTATGTGAAACATTCTTTACAGTTTTGAATCTTGCGATATCATAAGAGGTAATCAGGGTAACAAAACAAATAAACTATTTTATTATGTTTTGCAATATAAAGAAAATTTTAAAATATAAATAAATACATTTAAGGTTAAAACTATACGAAGCTCTTGGACTGCGGCCTATATCGTATAGAGTATTAGCTATAGTAACAACAGGCTAATATTGTCTTGTTATGAGGGTTGTCAACAGTGAGACAATAACGGATTGACGGAATGACGTCATGATGATAATATAGAAATTGTATTTGTTTTAATTTCATATGTAACGATATACTGTGATAGCAGGCACAACTGCAGCAAGTTGGGAGTATAGGCAGCGTGACTGCTGTTGGCAACGTTGTGGGGAACGTGGGCACGGTTGGCAGCGTGGGCAGCGTCGGCAGCGTCGGTAGTGTGGGCAGCGTGGGCAGTGTGAGCAGTGTTGGCAGTGTTGGCAGTGTAGCAGCAGAGACTGCACTGAAGCAACAGCCTTCGCCCAGTACTCCACGGTTATCGCCTCAGGTAAATAACAGCAAGTGCGTTGTAAAGGCCATGATCGCTGTCGCTAGCGTAGTGGGGAACGTTGACACATTTAGCAAGGTGGTTTGTCATGCAATTTTACTAAATAATGTACATTTAGTGGTTAATTTTAAATGTTAATGTTAATTTATTTTCTTGTGAGAGGGAATTGTTTTTATGCAATTTAGAATATCAATCAACCTGACAGCCCACCTGGTGGAAAACGTTAACTGTCGCCTATAGTCATGAATATTATCGTTGATGAATATCAGAAAATAATATATGACGTCCATGGTGCCGTTCATGCGGACTATGGTGTAATACTTGCGTGCTCTAATAATTTAACTGTAAACGTATTTATACGTATTTATGACTCGATATAGTGTTCAATTTGTATAAGAAATCATTGTACAATGACAGGTGCATGATATCCATTCGACGCAGGCATCATCCAACCAGTTACTCGCTCAGCAGCTTACCAATCCTCAACAACCGCTGAATCCTCAAAAGATGCAATCGGCCATCATACATATACAGCATCCGCTTATGTCTACTGCTGGCACATCACAGGTATTGTTATATATAACATTATGATGTTGGAAAAGTTTCTATCAATAATGAATTTATTTTTTCTGTCATATTTTAATGTACTTATTAAATATTTTTAGGTACAAAACATTCAGTATACGAACACGTCGTCAACACAACAGAAAGCGACCATCACAAAGCCCCGAACAACGAATCCTGCAATAAGCGCACTTGTTACTAGCCTCATGAATTCAGCGCAGCAGTTTCAGCAAGGTTAGTTTTTAATTTATTTATTTATTTACGCGAATTATGTTGTAGTACTCTTTTTATTTATTAGGAATTATCTTAATATACACAACACTTGTTAAGGCTATCCCTACAATACACCATCCTTCCGGGCAAAAAAAATATAAAAATATATGATTTTTTTTAAGGAAATAAATACGTTTTGTCAAAATAATAATTAAAAAGTTTAGAAAGTCAAAATTATTAAAACAATACCAATTTTTAGTAATTAATTTTTAATTTTTTTAAACATTAAAATAAGGGAAATGATTTTATCGTGTATATAAAATTAAGTAAACAATATAATAGGTGAATAGTTATCATTTCTCGTTTTAATTATTATAATTTTTATGTTCATGATAGGTATTTTTAAGAAACAAAAAGCTATGCTTGGATGTAAATATGCTTTATTTAATTAGTCATCATTATATTGTATGTATTGATATTTTACTTATTTTACTAATATCGGACATTAAAATTGATAAAAACAAAAATATTATCTTCAAAAATGTCGCTAGTCATAATCCGTGTTATATTAATAATAATATTTTTCATTATTATTAACTAAATTATTTATATAATTAAATATAATTTATAAATTATTATTATAATTAAAGTATGCTTAACTGACTATTCTGACGTTATATGTTTCTACAACTTTCGGTTGATTAGGTCAATCGTCGTTAGAGCAAATACCACCCGAAAACTTTGCCTGTAAAATATCATAGTCGTCAGTCATAACCTTTATAATACATTCCATAATTACATTTATTAGTTGATGACATACTTTATATATAAGACAAAACGTTTCAAATTTTACTTTAATAATTAAAAGTACATATTATAATATATATATACATACACATATATGTTACTGCTATATATCTTTATCTGGAATGTAAGATGATAGCCGACATTGATGTTTCTGTATATGCAAGCTAAATATGGACACAATAATTTAACTGAATTGGAAATTTAATCATTAATTTATTGTTTGTTAGGTATATTACCACGTAATTTCTAAGTTTACATACCTATACTGATCACAAATTTAGCCAATTATTTCATTATTAGCGTAATTATTTCTTAGTACACAGACCACACACACAGAGAGAGAACCTTATGTCAATAGAATTGTCAGTTCTTGTTTTATCTTGTGATTTACTGATTTAACGGTTTGACTTGATTTTATGAATTGTGTTCCGAGACATTGGTTGAGATGATGCCCACAGCCACATTTTATCATCGTATCGGTCGCCATCGACAGGAAAATCATTATCGAATGCTTGAACTTAAATGGTCACGTACAGTGCGGTTTCAAAAGGATTTTCTTTGCCGAGGTTTTTCCAGGTTTATTAAGGTTTTTTCAGGTTCGGCAACGCGCACGTGATATCCCTAGTGTTGCAAACATCTAAAAGCTACAGTAATCATTTACCATCAGACGGGCTATTCGCACGTTTCCCACCTTCGTTGTATAAAAAAAAAATATGAACACCTATTCTTATAATCCACAGCTGCAAGTCAGAATGCGGCCAAGAACGTAGCAAGCACAGCGAGTAGCAACGCGACAATACTGAATCTGCTGAATAGCGCGCCGGCTGCTATGACGCACGTGACGTCATCATCCGACGGGCTCGATGCACACAAGTTGCTCGGCCGCGTGTCGATAGCAGGGGCTCGACTTGTGCCTGCGACTACCGCCTCGCATCCTACACACGCCGCACATGCTGCACATCCCTCACACCCTCTTCCTGCGTATACGCAGCAGGTGGGGTTCCTGTCATTATCATTTCAATCATTGAACACATCTTCGAACTTAGATATTCTTTCATATTTCAAATATAAAGCAGAGTAAGTTTTTATTTATGAATTCAATATGTATAGATTCTTTAATAGAGATTTGCTACTTCGATCACGCGAAATCCGTTCTTTTTTTCCATTCCAATGAGAATATCGAGAAACGTCTTCTTAATGTGAATAATAAGAATAAATAATGTAAATATAAGATATAATGTCTGCCTCCGATATTATTCATCGATATTGATGTAATTGCATCGCTATGAACGCGCCACTTTGTTCTTATTACATTTTTAATGACCTGATTCATATCCAACCTTATGCTTTCTGTATTTCTATCAATTTTCATATAAATGATAGAGTTATTAGGTGTATAAACTTACTTATCATTGCATTATAATGTTCCTTTTTAGAGTTGAACTACTGAGACCTTAGTGATGTTTATATTCTATAGTTTTGAAGCACAAATAATTACTAGATATGGCAATTATAATTATTTTAATGTTATTAACTCTACAATATTATTAGGGTACCATGCATTAATTAAGTTTAATGTTCTAGATAATAATATTACTGAAATAATAGGCTAATAATGTTGGCCTTCAAGATCTTTTTTATTTCCATGTTTAAACTCGTAATATTATGGATAGTAATTATAATTTTTACTATGTACATTAAAACCTATAAAATTACGAATACGTCATATGCAGGGTGTGGGCGTGCAAGTGATGAGCGGGTACACGCGCGATAATGAGTCCACAAACGTGTCGAGTAGTGAGAGCGCGTTGCTCGAGCGACTTATCGGTTCGGAAACCGCTGTGCCCGCCACGCAACAGCAACCGCAGCCGCAGCCGCAACCGCAACCGCAGCCACAAGCGCAACCAGTCTGCCATTTACAGGTTTTTATTTCAGTTACTTTTTAAATTAAGAATGAAATGAAATATCTTCCATAATTATATTCTATTGAATCTGTATTTATTTAGTCTATTACAAACTCTTATGGTTCTACCGCCAGTTTAGATCAGTCGCCCTAGACAAGTGTAGTATGAATCTATTGTTAAATTTGTTATTGTTGCCCTAAGCATGAGATGATAACGGAAACATATCTACCTATTTGTTTGCCACTTGTATTAGGAAGTAGATTTAGCCAAAAAGATATTCAAGCATAAAACTCAATTATTACTCGTAAAGCATTTTTATATATTATTGGTGGCATAATTTGTTTATTCCATATTACATATTGCATACTATAAATTACTTCAAAGAATATGTAATTTATATTTTGGTGTATCTATCACTTGCCAGTATCTCAATGATATAACGCCTTAAGTTATTTATAATGATATTAATAAATGGAGTAATATTTTAATTTCAGGGTTTAAGTTTAGCATCCCTTCAAGGGCTGCAAGGCATTCAGGGTTTGCAGAATGTGCAAGTGCAGATACCAGGGTTGTCGGCGCCAATATCGCTGTCCCTAAACGTGTCCGGTGCTCCTAGTGGGCTGCTTGTTTCCGTCCCCTCCACCACGTCTGTTGTACTCACCAACCAGCCGTCGGTGCTATCGTTACCTATTGGTGAGTTTTATATTTAAAGTAACACTTTTACCGCGTTTTAAAATAATTTTGTGTTATCACGTTATTATTGTGCGGAACTATTGAATTACAATTCTATGCGACACTTGTGTAACACGAATGTCGCGCGGACTTTATACAGTTATTATTATACTTGTGTTATGTAATTATATATTATAATGTATTTATGTATTAATATTAATGGTATATATTATGATAGTGGTATTCTTACGCAAGTATATATTGTTAATTTGTAATAATTCTCAGCTGTAGACAATCAATTGCTTTGATAGCTTGTTAAGTACTTGTTAAGTAAAATTAAACGCGGTTCAATTTTCTTTATATATATTCTTTATTGCACTTGTAATTTACATTGTTAATGCATTTATAAATATTGTGAGCAAGGGTGGACTTATCTCTGACAGAGATCTTTTCCAGTCAACCCAATGCAGTTAGAAAGCATGTTGTTAGTGGGTAGCTGAAGTGCTACTGTTATTAATATTTAGAGTACATAAACAAATATACAGTTAAATAAAATACTATTATTCTATCAAAACATATATTAAATAATGATCATCGGAAAGATTGAAAATAGTTTGTTTTTGAAATGTGACAAATAATTTATATGTCGCCATATTTCGGCATGAACAGCAGAGGAAGTAATCACTACGTTATAAGCGTTGGCACTGGTCTTATACCAACGAAACTTGGGAGAATTTTTTTTTAAATGTATGTTACCTTTTCAAAGTAACAACACAATAAAAAGTATAAAAAAAAGAAAACTAAATGCTTATTAAAAGTGCTGTACCTATATATGCTTCCATCCAAGATATCGACAGATGTCATAAAAAACCTAGTTTTTTCATAATATAAAATTTTCCAATTTTACAAAAATCATGGACAATAAAATAAGTATTATATATGTATTTAGTTACTTTATTTTACTCTACTACAATTTTTAATAAATTTTTTTGACAGGTGAGTTATGCAAATTCTCTTTGGCGTATTAAACAATAGTTGGAAATATTGTGTCGAGTCTAACGGAAGAAATAGCCCTATTTGTAATAATAACATTATTACATTTACATATAACTATAACATGACTAAAATTGTTTTAAAAGGTGACATTTTAACGGGAAATTGTATAGTGCAAATACAATTAATTAATTATCCATACATGATTTTAAGTACTATTTGCTTTCGTAATATATCATTACTTATAATTAAATCTCAGTTTATATGGATAAATAACCATAGTAGGAATAACACTAATGGATTTTAGATCATTTTACAAATTCAGTAAAATTTTTAATATAGCATAGAAATACTTAATAGCTTTGCTACTATATGAACGAATAAATTAATTAGATAATACATGCAAACTTTAATTATACTTAACTATATTAATTATAATTATTGTTTACTCACTGGTTTAAATCGCCGATTATTCTTTATTACAAGTATAATATATTATACTGAAGATTATTTATATTTTTATCTATTAATACGTAATTTATCAAAACACATTAGTTGTATTAATATTAAAAAAAAATTATATTTATGAATGAAGTTCTGTTTTTGAAGCCACAACACAGACTGTCATGGTGCCTATTCAAGATGGCTATGATCGGCCATCATGGATTTTTTTACAGTTCGGTAACATAGTTTCATAGAGAAACGCCATTCCAACAACATTGTTCCAACTGTGGCAGGCCGGGGGGAAAGGGATTGTTAGTAATGGAGATTAAAAATACCATTGCTAGCAATATACCCAACCAGGTCGACCTCCTCGCGGTTCTCCCTGGAAACTATCATGGTTAATTCTTGACAGATTCATCATGATGGGCTAACTGGCCTATCTTCATTGTCATCGATCACTCTTCACTGGTGCCCCGCCAGCGTATCCTATTAGCGCAGGCGGGATTACCATTCCATTATCACCCATCAAAAAAAAAAACTGGTAGGCCCGGTATGAGCGATCTCAGCATATTGTTTGTCGTTATAGCTCACCTGATGTCTAGCGGGGTGAAGGGCGCGGTGCGGGGCGGCGCCGTGCAGGTGGTGCGCGGGGCGCGGCCCGCGCGGCCCGCCGCCCGCCCCGCGCCCCGCGCCGCCGCGCCCGCCGCGCCCGCGCCCGCCGCCACCGCCGCGCCCTCCGCTGGCCCTGCCGTGCACTCCATCGCCACGCTGCAGCCCGCCGCCGCACCCTCAGGTACGGTCATATTTACTGTGATTTCTAATTACCACGTATTGCTTTCTTATGGACTCCGTAACGACAAAGCGATACTTAGTAGGGCCAACGTTAGTCCACAGTGCTAGTGGCATTTCATGTCCACGTACTCTCCTTGAAAACTATCTAGGTAAATGCGTCATGGCGGTGTTATTGACTTGACCTTATCTCTCTAGTATCCCACCAGTATAACTTATTAGAATAGACGAGGTTACCATTCTATTTTTACCTAAATATAAAATTAGTAAAGATGTATATACCTATAAAAAACCGGTCAAGTGTGAGACGGACTCGTGCAACGAGGGTTCCGTATCTATTTCATAATTTTTTTTTGAAATAATTACGAATTTACGGTATTCGAATTTTTTCCTTTACTTGTACTACATGACATCGCTTCTTGCCAAATTTCATGATTTTAGATCAACGGGAAGTATCCTATAGGTTTTGATTACCTTTGCGTATGTCAAAATATGCGATATAAATGGAAAATAATCAATTTAGAAGCTTGATTTTTTCACTGCTTTAAGAGATTGCAGACTTGAGTATATGATATTAATTTCAACTTGATACCTCTACGCGTTCCTAAGAAAAAGCATTGACAAATAGACAAACGGACGGACGGATAACGAAGTGATTCTATAAGGGTATCGTCTTTTTCTTTGGAGGTACGAAACCCTAAAAAACCGGTCTGATGCGAGTTGAACTCGCCCGCCAAGAATTCCATATATAAATATGAACTAAAATTATCATTATTACATTTCTCATACGAAATAGAGAATTATTATTATTATTGATTTTACAATATGTATTTTTTTATTTTGGGCCAAAATTATAAATATATTTGTTTATTAACTATATTTGATTTTGAGGGATTTTTTTTGATAATTTCTCAAAAACGGTGGTAATTAGGAATATCGTTTTATTTTTCCTGTAATATTCACCTATACCTTTATAAATTATAATTATTTAAGATTTTTCAGTTCCGAAGCTTCGAAGAAGGGGGGGGGATAGTGTTTTTCACAATTTCAATTACAACTGAAAAACTCTATAAGCATCATAAACTAAATAAAAATCAGTTTTAAAATATATAGAAATGAAGCCTTTTCATGTGATACTCCATTAGTATTAGTAGGTCAATTTTAAAATTTTGCAAATGCAATATGTACGGGCTAATGATATGTGAAACTATTCCAAATATCAAATCGATAGTGTTAGCCGTTAGTATGATATAGCGCTGTGACTGATGGACTGACATACGGACGGTCCATGTAATTCATAACGCAGCATTTAACATTATAAAACGTATTGAAAGGGAGACTTTGTACCAAAGTTGATTACTTGGGTACCTCTGTCCCATTCGTGTTTCAACTGTGAAGCAGTTGTGTTTGCATGGCTGTGTTTTGGTTTGAAGGGTGGAATATGGCGTGAATTTACTGGGTACCTACAGAGGAATAACACCTGAGTCCTCAGGAAAGGCAACGCATGGGGGAATATCATGGGCGAAATAGTGTCCATGGTACTGCTCATGTCTATAGACGACGGTTACCACTTTCCATCAGGTGGGCCGTCAGCTTGTTTGCCATCCTAAGTTGTATAAAAAAAGTATTGAAAATTAACTAATTCTTAAGGTAATTAATTGATTTTCTAGTAGTAGTTCCGTTCTCAGTTATTGAAAAATTAGTATAATACACTTACAAGTGTGATAAAAAAGCATTTTTGTTACTTAAGTTCTGATAGTAGTCATATTGTATCAACGTCAAAATATATTTACAAAATGACGTTTTTTCAGGTACCACTCAATTCATCACTCAGGCCCAAGCGCAGGCTTTAAATGCGCACCAAGTGAGGCGAAAATCCAACGCGGATAGTTCATAGTAAATATTTAAACTGTAGTACACTGCCGTTTTAGTGAATATCTGTAAATACACAGTAGGTAAATTTATTATAGATGTAATGAAATTAAGATGACTGCTTAAGGTGAATTCCACAGGTAAAAACTAGTGTTTTACAATCCTTTTAAGAGACTAAACACATTTTAATACATCAGCAATATAAACGATGGTTAGTGTGCATGTAAATTTTATCCGACTGCAGGTACGTACGTACAGGTATAAGTAAAATATTTAACGATTTGGCTCGACAGTACCAATACGGCACCGCAAATAATATTGGACAATTTGTCAAATTTGACAGTTATGAATCTAAATATTTGACTATGATGAATGTCATTTTCTTTTTAATCATGTTATCTTACTTTTTTTTTATTATACATCTCAATCATGTATTTTTTATTGTTTGAAAGTCACAAATATAAATATGAAATTTAATTTTACCATAACTCTGACATTAGAAATTATATGATCATGACATAAATTTGAAGTGTTGATATGGTTATTAAAAGTGTTAAAGGTACCAATACTTTTACTAATTAAAAAAAAATGTTGTTGATGGATTTGTTGAACAACTGTATATATCTATGTTGTAGGTAGATATTAGACTTGTTAATTTGTTTGAAATTTACATATGGAAATTGAATGGACGTTAACTATTTGGTATATTAAGGATAGACAAGTAATGTCTCATCGGTTTTTAAACGTAAGTTCGTAATTTAGAACGAAATTTGTCCAAACCATATTTCCTGATTGCATGTTGTAAAATTATTAAGAGAATTTACCAAGGGTAATAAAGGTACCTATTTATAAATAATGTAACATTGTACTGGTACTTAAGAATATAATTAAGAAAAATTAATCTGATATGAATTAATTGGCCAGTATTATAATGAACTGTGCTGTCAATGCCTGACTGCTCGATTAATGTAACTTTACCAACCTTGATATGTGTATCAAAGTACAATACTTTGCAATTACTCGAGCGTGATATACGTTGAATTTCGTTGTAAATATGTATTACATGTAGGTTTATATATTATAAGCATCACAAAATATAATTCTGTAATTATTATTATAACGTTAAAAGAATATATGATCGAGCGATTATTATTTATGCTTTTACAATATATAAATCGAGATACGTGTACAGGGCCCATTGAGGCCGCCTGCAACAACGATTATAATATTGCACTATTTATGTTATATTATGATGGGTTTTGTAAATAAAACAAGTGATAAGCGGTATCGATAACCGTAATACTCAATAAAATAGGGATCAAATTAGTACTTTTTAGTTTTGCTTGTTAAATGTAATTAAAAACAATGCAAACTAGATTTTAAGGTATATTTATGATCCCTCGGTGTTCAAGTTGCCAGCTATGTGCATTTTAGCGGTTAATTTGACATAATAATATGTACATAATATATCGGAAAACTCAATTGATAATATTTTAGATGCATTATTATTAACATAAAATGTATAATAATACAATAATATTAACATCAATTAATTATGTTCATCATTTGTTCATAATTGTTATTTTCACGCGCACAATTAACATTTTTATCATGAGTCTCTTATTTGCAATGGTAACATTAACAGCAATGGTGACATATCGATCTTTTGTAAAAATAATAAACTGACCAGTGTTTAATATAAAAAAATAATGATCCTTGAAATTTCTGTCTGTCGGTCGGTTGTCTGTATTATGCATGTTTGTACGAGAAATGCATTAAAATTACTACAGGATATAACATGCGATTACGTTTCATTGTGTCATACAAGTTAGAAGATCAGTTTTATTTTAAAACTACATGTGTCTACTAATTGGGTTTTAATTATACTGATAGAATATGTTCACATTTGGTAAACGTTGTTTTTAAACTTTACCATAAAATAAAATACCGAAGTTTTGAAATGCCGAAACGCGTTCGTATCGAAAGCAGATTCATAAATGGATAGTGACATTTCGTTTATTGTAAACTGCAAAAATTTACCATTATCACAGTAGTTTTTTGTAATTTAAATATATAATTCGTGTTTTGTTCGAATCCAAAACTGTACAAACAACCTTGATAATGAGATGCGTTCGGTAGGGATTTATTGGATTCTATGCAAAGTGACGGGCAGAAGCTAATTTAATTATAATTTCTAGACTATTGCTGTTACAAATGAAGATAGTTATCAGAAATGTGTTCATATAGGCATTGTATTATATTTCTAACGGATAATGTACATACTGTTTGCATAGAACTATGCACATATTTGTAATTTTTTTACTTAAGACTGACAATGGCTGCTTTACCTGTCAACTTTCAAACACAAATGATCTTATTTATTTTTTTAATATTTAATAATATACGTTATGGTATTTGATAATAAAAAGTATTTGATAACTTTATGTGCGCATTGTGAAGCGTAAGATTTTTTTATTAGCTTTCTTTTAAGAGGAACGAAATCAAAGTTTCACATTGACAGTAATCTTATTTTTTTTAACCCTAAGAAGACACAAGTCAGCGCGTTCACCGCAAAAAAGATGCTGTTTATCGTATCTCCTCAGTTTTAAAGCGCTCTCCTTTGATAATAAGTCGAGTCTAGTCCTTGACGTTGATATATCCAGCGATGTCCAGTTTTGCGGTCATCTGGAGGAAAAGGTTAAAGCGCTCTCCTTTGATAATAAGTCGAGTCTAGTCCTTGACGTTGATATATCCAGCGATGTCCAGTTTTGCGGTCATCTGGAGGAAAAGGTTGATCTCCAAAAAGTTAAAAGTGCTCAATAGAGTGAAACGGTATTTTATGCCGAAACACCGCATGCAATAGTATAAAGTTTAATTTCGGCCATAATATGGAATACTGTTTTTGGCTATAGGCAGGTGCGCCACAGTACTAGCTTCTACCATTGGGCCGCATTCAAAGTCAGGCGGCCCGAATTATTGATTATCAACGCCTTACTATCCGACTCGATCTACTGAAACTACTAGTCTCTATTAAAACGTCTCTACGTTTCATTTTTATGCATCTGCGTACAATCTGCCACAAACTAAAGTTCACCGATGTATGGCGGTCCTCTATCATGCGTTTTCAAGACACTTCAGCAGTAGTATTTCCGAACCGATGCGACATTCTAACCTTCAAGAAGAGCGTATTCCTTTTTAAAATGTTGGCAGCACACCTGCAATGCCTTTGGTGTTGCGGGTGCTCATGGGTAGCGGTAGTTACTTGTCATCAGGTGTGTCGCATGCTCATTTACCCCCCAGTGTTTTATAAAAAAAATATTTTGTATGTTACGCAATATCACCAGTTTTGTACTGATTTGCATGTTTCATTTGTGTTTGAAAGGAGATATTACAGGATTGTACGGAGTTTGGGTCTAGTCATTGTACATAACAAATAAAAATTTTAGATTGTAATATAAAAATAAATGTAATATAAAGTCGAATAGAATTTCAATGTCAGTTGTTTGCAGTTATTGCTCCATATAGTTCGCTAAACAACTGCGGAAATCCTTGGATTTCCTAATGTCAAATTTTTGTTTTGAATTTAATATATTATTTATTTCAAATATATAATTATTAATATTATTATTAATAATTATTGCACTGTACTTATAAAAAATGGCAATAAATTTATTATCATTATTAATATTTAAGTCTTAGGCAATTTATTAAAATTTAATATCAATTTACACAAAATGTAATCTATACATAAATGAAATGATAGAGTCAAATAAATTATTATCTATTTATTCCCATTTTTATGGAATGAAGTAATTCAAGGAACATAAAAATTATTGAAAAATTGTGATAATAAGCCACATATTATATCAATTCTGTCCTTTTTTTCGATAATGTTCATGTTTTTCTAAATTTTTTTAAATACTGTACTATGACTGGGCCCGAAATTAAACATTTCCTGTGACAGGTTATCCCTATCATACACGGGTCGTACCGTAGGAATGAGTGTATAGAATACACAATTACACATAGTACGAAATTCTACGCCTTTGATATGCGATTGATTCGTTAAAAGCGCTAACCTTATGAGTATGAATGCAATCGCGTATTCGATTACATACTACACGCGATTACATAGACTTTCCTCTATTTATTTAATTTAAATCAATACTTTCACTTTGTTTATGATAATTTTTGTTTTAAATAAAAAAAATTATACAACATTAAACATCGTAAAACTTTGTTTATGATAATTTTTGTTTTTAAATAAAAAAAAATTATACAACATAAAAATAATTATGACAAACAAAAAGTGTAAATGAATATTAAAAAAAATTAATACTTTGTTGGACCACCGTTAGCATAAAATTCTAATAAATAATAATATTAATTTTTATAAATTATAAGAAACTGCTATATTAAATATATGTTTAAACAGGATCCATGCTTTAGTATTCCATGCTTTATGTTTAGGGTCATTATCTTGTAAAAATATCCAATTATTGTTAAAACCCATTTGAGCTGCACTAGAGAGAAGATTCTTTAATATACGTTTTGTGATCCCTAATTCCATCAATAAATACAAGTTTTCCCACCCCAAAAGCACTCATGCAACCCCATACAAAAACTGACCCACCACCGTGTTTTACCGTTGGATTAAATAACATATTAGGTTTTCTCCATACCATATGATGTCCATCGATTTGAAAATATTATATTTCGATTCATCTGAGTAAATAACAGTTTGCCAAAAATGATTTTTTTCATTAATATATTTTTTTGCGAATTCTAATCTTTTTTTCTATCAATATCATTTACCCAATACTTTTTAGGCGCAGTTCTTCCACGATAATCGTTACTACGTAATACGTTCTGAACGATACTGACAGAAATATGGCAATCATTGATATTATTAATTTCTGGTAACACTCGAGGGGCACTAATTTTTGGATTTTTTTTTACACAATTTAAAATTTTCCGATCCAATCGAGGCGTGATTTTTGATGGACGCCCCACCTCTGAGTTTGTTTTTTAGTGTTTTAGTAATAGAAAACCGATCAATTACAGTCTGTAGGGTTGAACGTGGTCTATTGACAAATTTTGCAATTTCACATAATGATTTGCATTGATTATGCAAATTAATAATTATTTTTCTCTCCTCTTCACTCGTTTCTTTTGCTTTACGACCCATTTTTGTAACTAAACACGTCTATACTTGTCACGAGTGCAACTAAAACGTCTAATATTTATACCTACGTATTAAAAATAACCTTGGCATTGTAGGCATATGAAAAATTTGATTGAATAAATGATTTATACAGAATACTTTTTGTTTGTCATTATAGTTAACGTAAAAATATTTTTATGTTGTATAATATTTTTTTTTAAAAACAAAAATTTTCATAAACAAAGTGCGGGAATGTTAAACTATTTAACAGTATTGATTTAAATTAAATAAATAGAGGAAAGTCTATCAAATTCGTATTTTTTTTATTATAACCCTAGGTGTACGAATACTTTTTACACTCACTGTACATTAAACATCGTAAACGATGAAATTATTGTAAAATAAAATTCTAATAAATAATAATATTAATTTTTATAAATTATAAGAAACTGCTATATTAAATATATGTTTCGGTTTTTAACCTGCAATAACCAGAATTAAATAACGAGACTCATAACTACGAGATACTTGGCTATAAGTCGATCCTCATAACCTAAAAGCTAACGATAAGTTCAGAAAAGGAAGAAATAATATTAATTAATATTAAGATTTAGTTAAAATATGTGCAATGCAACGCATTATGTATAGTGACTGTGTATAGGAATTTTGTAAATATATGTGTGCTTTTGTAAAATTTTGTCTACGCTACGACCCGTATCTGAACGCAGCGTCATCCTTGCCAGTTATACGATACGTGACCGCTTATTAAATACAGTTTGTTACTGCAATTTGAAATGTATTTATTTAATAATTGTGCGACATGTTGATCTCATTCCTTTACGTCGTATAGCTCAATAATGTAAATGTTTTTTGTTATTTGTAACATAATTATACTTTATTCAGAACCTGTAAATGTCTATTTTAGGAGATGATAATATTATTATTGTATATATTTTTTGTAATTGAGATTTTTATACATAACTCGATTTTATTCAGTTTAATTGTTGTTTGTCATTTCCACTGTCAACTATTTGTAGTGCTGCATTGTAAATATAAATTTTAATGAAATGTGATATGCCTTCTATTTACGTAGTGGTGTATCAAAAATTTATATGAGTGCGTTGACATGGATTTGTGTATAAATTGATATTATAAATATTAACTTGAATGTGTTGTTCAGAGGTTGACCTTTCGAACATAAATAAATAATTTTTACACAAAATTATTTTATTTCACTGTGTAGTGATTATTCCTATTTATTAATTGTCTGTTAATCATAATAATATGGATTTATAAGTTAAAAAAATGATTAATGATCAGTAATAATTTGAAATAAGTTATTAGCTTTATTTGTAGTATTTGTAATATGTATAGTACTTTTTTTTGTCAAGGCATGTACATGCTTGTCACAATTTGCTGTTCGCAATGTGAAAGTATTGTACTATTGTATAAAACACATCTTTATATATAGTTATGAAGGGATAAATAGAAAACTACAAATTTATTTGGTTAAAAAAGTATGCCTTTTTATTCTTTCAAATAGTTTTCATCTAAATTTTATAAGAACATTGGACACAATCGAAGCTTTTTTACCGATAAATAAGTATAAATAATTTCATATTCACATAAATTGTCTTATTTATACATACATTACATTTATTTAATATCAGTCCTCTCAAAAGGTCCATTCTCTCCCTGCAAATTAAACTTTATTATTTACACAGCGATAGGGATTCGCGTCTACCATACATACATACATCAACAATTAACAATTAATAGAGACTATTTACAAAATATATTATTCACAGTCACACTTGGGTCCATCCATCACCGTTCACACACGTGTCGAACTCACATTCACTCGATTTGGCATATGGATGGCGGCATGCGACGGCGCACTAGCGGATACTAGCGGGTCACTAGTGGATCATCACTAGCAGTCGCTCGCGAGCCACCAGGGCGCGCGGCATGTCGAACGCTTCCGCCGACGACGTTCAGCGCGGTCCGTCCGTTTCTTTACGAAGCGCACGTTGTACGGGTCTTCGGCGAGTTCTGGGTACCGTGCTACGTCGTGCACGTACTCGCCCTCGTAGCCACTCGCCGAGCCCGCCTTCTGTATCTCGTCTAACTCGGCTGCTGACCAGTCGAGCGAGCCGCCGAGTCCGCCGCGTAACGCTTCGCGCTCGCGGTGCCATGCCTTACGGACGGCGGCGGCGCGGGCGTGATGAAGCAGTCGCTGCCGCTCTCGTTCTGCGCTAGTGCCATATCGCAAATTCACTATGCTCGTTCGCCCGTGAATTTTTACGTCCGCATACGAGCGGCCGCCTTCTGCGACCTCGTGGAACGTCACGTTCAGTTTACCCTGCATGCGTTTCAGCTGCTGCTTGTCGTCGGCCGCACGCCACGTTTCTTCCTTGACGAAGTAAAACACGTCTTGTTGGTCGCCGTGCACAACGAACGAGAACGGCAGTAAATGAGATCGATTAAACACCGACGTGTATACGTCCCTGTAGATCGCGTTCGCAGACGGTACGGCTGTGACAACGGCGCGACCGCGAGAGTTTCGTGACACGAGAATGCCTCGTCCGAACGGTGGCTCCGAGTCGGAGCCGATGCGTTTTGGTGCCAAATTGAGTGCGTCAGTTTTTAATGCTGACATCGCTGGTATCGACAGGCTTCGGAAGTCCGCAATTCTCTTATTGGACATGTGAGAAAGGAAGCCGGACTCGATAGTGACGCTAGGCAGCAGTGACATAGCAGAAGGCAGGCCGGGGCTGGAATCAGTCGGTGCGGTACCCCAGACAGGGCGACCGCGAGGAATGCTTGGAAGTACTGAGCCGCCTGGCAGTTCATCCGGGTATAATTGTGGAGCTAAACTCTTTGTGTCGTAGCCGAGTAATTTTAACCATGATAAATGATCTGCAACAAATGAAATATGGATAATGTTAGAATAATGTTATGTTCCATATCTTCAGTGTTATATGTATGAATTAGATTATAAAACTATTTATATTCATATAAGTTGTAATTACCTGTTGGTTTCTTGTTTTGTGGTCTGACATTGATAGGATCGTTTCCATTAAATCTGTATAAGTGTAATTGAGTCGGGTTATGTATTCTCTCAATTAGGCTTTCCCACAGTGGAGACATCCACTGTCCGATCAGCGGATCGTAAACTTTGCCATTTGCCATGTGCACCAATGAAGTCACTTGATCAAGAAGACCGCCGCAAAAGTCTACTGGCAAATACAGGTAAGGGTTAGAATCGTAAACGATGTGGCCGTAGGGTGACCTCATTATTTCTCGGATTCCTTCTCCATATTGATTAAACACCATTACAGGAGTTCCACACTGATCCGTAGCAATGTAGTATTTGTGTCTTGCGACCTACAAAAACAATGTTTACATTTTAAATGTATATATGTATAAATACGATAAAAAAATCATTAAACAAATTAATAATTTTATATGTTCTCCTTTAACCAAAGATTGTCTGTAAGAGATTGCTCTAGCGATTAGACCACCTTTTGTACCTTTATATATATAATTTTAATCTATTTATCATATTATTATTTTAATATATTTAATAGAATAGGCTACCCTTTCTTTACCGTGGCTGTCGAAAGAGGTGACTAAGGGAGCTTATGGTAGAGGGATGGGCTGTAGCGTCCCTCTTAAAACAACACCAAAAGCTAAACTGTGGTTACTAACACGTCTGCCAAGCAAGGTAACTACTAGCAAAACCCCCCCTTATGGTGGAGGTTTGTATTCAGCAGTGGACAGTTAACAACTGATACTATACTACTTAATTTATAAAATTAATACGTACTATAATATAGTTATAAGTGCAATGATAATTACCTGTGTGTAAATAAGATGTCCCCTATCATCATACACCAGTGTCATAAATCTGTTCTCACGTGGGGAATAAATGTGACTAACTTCATGAGGCCTTTCCTTGTTTGTATAGAAAAATTGAGTAACATTTCCGAAATTATCTTTTCGAGTGGATAACCTGTAAATATGATTTACACGAAGATTACAGGAAGTTCATGTAAAAGAATTATAATGTTGGGCAATATTCAGTAAATGGGTACCTAAATATTAAGTTATTGATGATGTTTAGTAAAGTAAAATGATTTTACTAAATTATGATGATGATTTAGTAAAGAAAAATAATACGTTCATCTGTCTAAATATACATACCTGTCCAAATGGTCATAATAATAGCGAACATCAAATCGCCCTCGTTTGGTCGCTCTAATCAGTAGTCCTTTCGAGTTGTATTGAAACCGTTCCTCTCTAGCATTCTGGGACACCAATCCTCGGCTATCATATCTATATTGTCCTTCGCCAAACTTAATGATACGGTCCATGTCGTTGTATTCCATTGGTATGGTATTTCCTCTATAAGTTAACGACAGCATGTTTCCATTATCGTCGTATCTAAAGCCCCAAGGTTCTTGTGCTTCGACACCCGTCAACTGGCCGTCACAGTCCCATGTATAGTTTTTGACATTAGTGTAAGTATTGACTCCTACATTTCTGGTGTGAGTTCGTGTTTGTGATATTCTTCCATGTTTGTCATAAGAGAATTCCATTCTAAATACTTCCATTCTATGAATATTAACTGTCACTTCTTTTTCTAGGAATTGTTCGTTGAGTGCACGAGAGAACATTGCTATTCCATCGTATACGGAAGTCTCATTCCATTTCTGTTTTGATACAGTGAACTGACCTAGAATTTCTGGAGAGCCTGTTTTAGTGTTATATACAATATGATGTGGTATAAGAGTTTGACCACCAATTCTTCCCTGAACAGAAGTTATTCTATAATTGTTATCATATTCATATATTATTTTAGCATTGCTTAATCCTGTTTTGGCTCCATAGTCAAGTCTTTCCTCTATCAAAAGCCCACCAGCGTATGTCGACTCCCATCGATAATCGACATCACGATCAACATGTAAGATTTCTGAAGGAAGGCCACTATTTTCTGAGTAATGAATTTGAGTTTGGCCATCACCATGGACGACTTCAGATACTTTGTTAGTAGTGAAGTATCTATAAACCACTCTAGCTCCATCTCCAGGAAATACGGTTTGTAATAATTCGCCAGTATGAGAATAGTGTTGAAGATATTTCTTAGAGGAACCTGGGGGTGTGTATGTGACTCTTAAAAATCCTATGGAAGGTTGTACGCTAAAAGAATGGTTAGTAGCCGATGGTAGAATAACATGGGTCAAACCACCGTCATCATCATATAGATACTTGAAACTTCTCTGACTTGCTAAAGTAATTTTGGAAACTAGATTGCCTTCATTGTAGTAAATAAATTTGGTACCATCTTGGGGACTGGTAATTTCAGATAGCATTCCATGTGGGTCGTAACTATATGTTTCTTCAGTGTCTCCCCATTTCCAACCGTTGATTCTGTAGAATCTATCATAAGAAATATTTAACGGCACACCAGCATCATGAGGTGTAAATGAAAGCGGTAATCCGGCAACATCATAGGCTATTGTAAATAGAGGGTTTCTGTCTACATTGAAAAATGTCTCGCGGCTCTTGAATTGATCGAATTCAATAATCAATACTCTGGAGTCATTAACCCATATCTCACGATTTAGGGTCTGCTGCGGGTTTCTAACATCGCCAACTAATGTATACAAGGAGTACATATTATTTACAAGGCTATCGCCAAATGTAGTAGTTTGATGAGACCACATATGAAGCATTTCTGCTTCTATAGGAAGAGCAGCCTCCAATAGAGGATGTTTTGCTGCCGCGATACTCTCGAATTTCCCTGACCACGGCGTTTCAAGAAGCAACGTGTTGTTTGTATAAATTCGACCTTCCGTGATTTGTTTACCGTTGTTTATAGTTATCTGTTTGAACGATTGTCCATGTAGAACATATTCACATTTTTTAGCTACTCCAACAGGAATAGTACTTGATGGATTTGATACAGTTACTGCCAATCCATAGTTTTTAGCTAAGCCTGATGAAATGTGTACTTGTTCTCCAGAGGGCATAATTATTTTAGTTACACGGCCAAGTTCATCATAGTTGTAGATAACTGTGTCACCAGACTGAAAAAAACATTTATATATTTAATAACTTGAAGTACATACTATTGAAGTACATAACAAAAGTAAATGGATAAATTAATGGCTTTATATTATTACAAAACTATGATTAAATATAGTTATTGCTTAGTATCAAAATATGTAACGCTTTCAGTAGGATAAATTAATAAAATGATTACGGTGTAAGTATACGTAATCTATATAAATGTAACTTACTCCAGATCGACTATTGAGAAGTCCTGAATTAGCATCATAATCCAATTCAATTTCAGATGTGCCTTTCTCTGTTATTTTAGTTAAGTATCCGATTCCAGATATTTTTAGTTCCAGTTTGTGATCTTGAGTATTTTCAATAGAGCTAACGACATTACTGTAATCTCTTAGTAATTGAATTTTATTTCCTGAGGCGTCTGTTACAGTAGACAATTTGCCGAAGCTTGTGTTTTTAGAGTAAAGGAATGAATATCTTGTTTTTCCAGATGTTAAATCTTTTGTTGTGATATGTTGTCCATAGCGATTGAATACATAAATTTCTGACGTAGGTGGATAAGGTATTCTAAATTCTCCATTTTCATCGTGTGTGGGTAAGTAATGTTTTAGCGCAAGTATGTGAAGTGATCCTGTGTGAAAAACATAATTATATTAATAACAGTTAAAAATATTTATTTTGTGATAATATAGTCAAAAATACATATTTTGTTCGCAGTGTTTACCTTGATCAACAACATTTAAAACACCATCCGGCGTAACAGCAAGGGCAGATATCGTTTGGAATTTGGCGTTAGATGATAAAAGTGTCTCAGTACTAGTAGGCGGCTCATCACCCGCTGCCACACTCAATTTGCATGGACATCCTGCCCCTTCATCTCTGCTGTTCATAGGAACTGCTGTTGCTGATACAGATGAGTTACATTCGCAGCTTAATTCTTTTAAGTTTTCTTGCACTTTGCCAGCAAAATGCATTATCTTTCCTGACGGGTCAATAGACTTTATTGTATTGGATTTCTTAGAATCAGACTCCGCCACATATAAAATACCACTTGGTGCAAATGCTATTGCTAATATCGTGCCCAAACTTGAATCTTCTCTGAATTCTGTGTTAGTTTTATTGGTAGCTTTTACAATTGGTTTTCCGTCACTTCCTATACGGCAATGTGATGGTTGGCCAGCAACCACTTTAATTTTCATATCAACAGTTAATTTTAGTATGATTCTATCATCTATAAAATATAAAGATCCGTCCAGCGGAGATAGAGCTACTCCAGTAGGCCACTGTAATTGAGCTTCATAAGGAGGTATGGCGCCACGGCAAGGAACAGGGGACCAATGATTATGATGGCCATGATGACCGACTAATGTATGAATGATTCCATTGGGATCAACTGCTCGTATATTCGTTCCATCGGCGATGTACATAGTTCTATCTGCAGCTATAGCAAGACCTGCAAATAAAACAATGAGTAAATTATTAGCTATACTGGCACGTAAAAATAATATAAATAAGATTTGAGTAGTAAACAAACCTTTAGGATGCGCTAGCTTGGCTTTTATAGCGGGTCCTTCATCTCCACAATTAGAGTCATCTCCAGGTACACAGCGATCACCATTTCCGACAACAGGTTCCGAATTCAGTGCCGGATCACGTACTTTTTCTAACAGCAATACTTTACGAACTTGATGTTTCTCTGAATCTGATATGTAGAGGTTTCCATCAGCTGGTGATATGCAGATGTAATATTGATACGCGACTTGAGTCGTTCTGGAATATTATATTTTGTGATTAAATAAACAATAAAATAAAAATAGTCATTAACGAAAATTGAAATAGGACATTAAGGTGTTTTTTATTTTATGAATTACTTACTCTAATTGAAGGACAGTGGTGACAACGCCTTCAGGAGTGATACGTCGTACAAGGTTGAAGTCGCCTACATAAAGTGATCCATCAGGGCCTGAGGTTAATGCTGTAGGTGTCAAGAGGCGAGAGTCAGCTGCCTTGCCATTGCAGTGGTCGGGGCAGTCCAAGCTCCGTTGAAGACCCGTTCCCATTACCACCTAAAAAATGGGAATATTATAATTTTTTTTTTAATAGTCATTAGTAAAATAGTGATTTATACATGTTATGTCACTCTGCATGAACCTTTTTTGTAAGAGTAACAAAGTTTGCTGTATAAAGTATTATTATTAAAACTACCGCTATCATAATATGTATAATTTGCACAAACAATAGGTAGTTACTTTCATACCAAGTTACGTTACATTCATGATAACCATTCACAAATGTATAGATATATAGAGATTTTAGAATAAAATGTATTAGTAGGTAATAATTTACCTGCACAGTTCTAGGATATTGTTTTAAATGTAACAAAGCTCCATCGCCTTTTTGTAGTATGCCTTCGTGGAAATTGTAATGATGATGGATGTCGAGTCCCCAGCCTCCTATATCTGAGATGTCGACATCGAATCCAGCCAGAGTTGCGGTCTGTGTTTCCCAAACAATGGATGTACAGGACGAGTACTCATAGCCGATGGAGATCTTAGCTTGAGCTTGGCCGTAAACCTTGTAAATGACAACAAAAAGCAATGAAAATTATTGTAATAGATTATGACGATGTATATAAAAATAGTCGTAGGTGTTGAAATGGTTTAGCAATTTGTCAATACGTAATGATCTAAAGGGGAAGTTAGATCAAACCAACAAATCTTTCAGTTTTTATTTAGAGAAGTTTAGAGTAAGAGCATTTTATTAGCATTATGAGATATTTTTCTTCATTGCATTCGTTGATTATTTTTTGCATTGTGTTGTCTAAACCGACTTAATTTTAAATTCTGTAGTCTTTTAATTTACCCTCATGTTGATACGTTTGATTTTATGAAAAAAATAATAATAAATATACGGGACCTAGATGAGTTTTATTAAAAGGCGTGAACATTATGAAATTTATACCTTCTGTTTATAAACATTCCGTTTGTTCCAAGCGAAGACATGTGTCAGATCTGGATCGGCCTCGTATGTGTGGGTGTGCAACGAGCCTTCGATCTCGACGCGCACGTGCACGCGCGCCAGCGCCGCGGGCACCGCGCGTCGCGTCAGCTGCACGTGCACGCACGACAAGTAGCCTGCTGCTTGCGATGACCGGTACGTTAACTTCACTGATGAGCCCGGAATGCCGATGGATTCGCTTACGATCTAAAGAATTACAACATATGTTGTATTATTTCCTTACGACGAAGTCAAAGTAGGGAGATAATTTTAGCAGTCTCTGTCTGATATACCTGTATCGAAATTACCATCATACTATTTATAGTTTTTCACAATTCACAGTCAATTCATATGACGTCTTTAATAAAAGGGTATCTGCATCATAATATAGATCTAGACGAGAACATAAAATAGACAGGCTCATACAAGAGAACAAAACAAATCGACCCCTCTTAGTGGTACTTTAGCCATAGACATAACGAATTTATGAAGTTTATATAAATTTCAGAGAAATTACTGATTCCCACCCACAGTATAAGTAAAATTATAAACGATAAACCTCAAATTCTGTGAAATTATAAATCTTAAATCTACACCATTAAGAAAATATGTTGTCGGTAAAATAAGGTCGATGAAAGGAATCGGAGCCAAGTGGTTCTGATTGAAAACATATGTAATCCATAAAATGATTCGGGGTTATTTTGTAGATAGGACAAGCCAACATGGCTTATGCATCGGATCGAAATAGCACCGCATGTAATACAGTAATGCATCTATTTATGTATTAATCATCATTTTGCTATGAAATAGACATCTACCAGTTACTGATATTGCAACTGATATTACAAGCATTTAAATGAATTATTTTACTTTTAAGGTCTTATCTTTATGTTAGTAACTGTTATTTATAATTTTTATGTATAAAAACGTATTTGCATACAGATTCGTTTATGTGTAACTATATATATAAACGAAGGATTTAGAGAGATAGATACTCTTTATTGCATCCTCCAAAAAAAATGTATACAGATTTGATAAGTAATAACTACTGGTTTATTTTACGTATAATTAGATTGAAAAAGCTCGATTAGTTTCGGAATCAATTCGTAATCCTTATTCATGAGTGACAGTGACGCGAGCGCGAGTTATTTACTACATTAAAATATAATGTGTGTTTACGAAACTTTTAATAATAGAAAAGATTTGTTAAGTATTCCAATCAATATACAGATTATGTTTATTCTAGTAATACGTTCCCGTGAGATAAATTACATTTGATAAATCAATTGTCACCGCAGAGAAGATAGACAGCTAATTGCAATTACAGATGAGAACGAAGCATAAATGTATGACAATATGGATTTTCCAATCTATATCAAAATATCAGAGATCAAATTATTAACATTCAGAAGAAGAAAATTAGATACCTGAGCCTCTGGGTATATGATGGTGGTGGTGACGTGGGAAGAAGCTGCAGGCGCGGCTAGCGGTGGCACGGCAACCACTTCGGGTCGTAGCCGTTCGTGGTCATGTGCCGCGCAAGGAGGCACTTTTGATTCCCACCACTGAGGTGTCGGTGACCAGTCCAGTCTTGGCGGTGCTCTACAAGTTTTAATAAAATTATGTCTATAGTACGCATCGAATATTTTTTTTTTGTGTGGGAGTTCAGATGTACCGTTAGAATATAATGTGGCTTCTTTTTACCCTTAGAATGTTGCGAGGAGGTGACTAATGGATCAAAGCGCAAAATATCTTAGATTATAATTATAACCTGAAATCAAATACCTTGCCTCCTGCTCAACAGAGGGTAGTTCAAGCTAAAATAGTCGTAAATTTAAAGGTTTGTTTTATTGCAATGTATTAATTTGCGGAATACAGCATTGTGGATTTTTTATTTATATTTTAATTATCTGTAGCAGGCTTAAAATTGATATTCATATAATTTTTTTTAATTTTTTTTAAGGATACATTATTTATTTTAGGTAAAGAAAGTACCTAGTCACTTTCTTTGCAGTTGTTATGATCATATTTTAGTATTAAATTCTATTAACTAAATAAGACATATCAATAAATAAATAACTATACAGTCAAAGTACCATATAGCATATGTGAAAGTATATTTTACATAATAATTTGAAAAGAATAACTGTTAAGTCTCTTGTGGGTTCTTCTCAACAACATTCAACATCCCGAACCCAGCAGTAGAATAATAAAAAAATGACGATTGAAAAGAACTTGTAAACAAGTTTACTTGAATAAAGGATTATTTCTATTCTACTCATAAAATATTAATATGAACACATTAATAGTAAATATAGAATCTAACCTTGGTGTTGGCACTTTAACACTATCGTCACTAAGTTCCATCTCAACTGGCGGCAGCACGACGATCTGATTCCATGGCACGAAGACAGTCTTCCTCAGGGGTTTGAATGGCGAACGCTGGAACTGAAGAGTCACAGCCCCACCGCCGTTCACCAAAACATCGAACCTGTGACGCATAGTGTTTCTTCTAATCTTTGTTTATTGATATATTAATCGTTTTCAAATACTTAATCCTATTTTTTTATTTATGCCTACAAATTATAATTTTGATTTACATAGTATCTGAGCGAATACTATATAGAGTATTTACTTATATATAAATTGCGAGCATTGAGTCTTAGAATCTGATGGTCTACTACTACAACTTAAAACTGAGACTAGAACTAGACTATAGCATGGGGTTCTTCAAAAAAGGGGTAAAGAGGTTTTCTCAGGGTCGGCAATGCGCGCGTAATGCCCCTGGTATTGTAGGCGTTCATAGGCTACGGTAACCGCTTACCATCAGATTGGCCGTTTGATTTTTTGCCACCTTAGTGATATAAAAAAATGAAATATTCAATCAGAAATTGATTTCGCTACGGGAAATTGTTAACATATTAATGGGGTCGCCACTTATAATTTAGAATCTATATGCTTGGTGATACATAAACAATAGAGATTTAAATGCTCAGATATGATGTATTGTTTGTTTATGCATACGTTCACATGATACTGGATATGTTCCGCTATCCACTAATTAGATTTCATACTTGGTGCTTTTACAGCAACTCCCGAGGAATTGGTAACGACCGTGTCCGAGCATTAATGATGATTGCGCTGAACTTGCCTCAAATATTTATTTATTCACATATCGATTATTAAAGCTTGTTTAAACATATCCGTTCATCACGCAATATGGATATTAAAATATCTTCACGGTATCTATCACGTGTTATTCATGTTTTTATTATAAATTGTTGCTATGCTTAAATTTATCGCTTTACAATATAAAGAAATATTCAACGGTTTTACATTCGCCTACTTCAATCAGTACTATGTATTATAAGTATTGTTTGTTTAATGGAAGTTCATGTAAATGTAAACAAACGAATAAATGACTCGACTTTAAGACAGTGTACAAATATCCAATACGACTGGTATATAGGTAGAGGTAGTTAATATATAGCAATCATCATCATTATATCAGCCTTTAACTATCCACTGCTGAACGTAAGTCTCCCCTTGGGGGGTTTTGCCAGTAGTTGCCACGCTTGGTAGCTAGATTGGCAACCGTAGTTAGGCTTTAGAGATGTTTTAAAAAGGACGCTGCTGCCCATCCCTCTCCCTCCCTTAGTCGCCTCTTACGACACCCACGGGAGAGAAAGGGGTGACTTACACTATGCCGGGACCACACGGCCGAATCTAGTCCAATACTAGTACTAATAAAAAATTTATAACTATACAATAAGTCAATTAATTTTTTTATTAGTTTCTGTTTGTTTCGAATTTTATTTAGATAACGGTTTTGTAATAATTTCAATATAACTTGGTTAACTTTTAAAACGACTTTAAAAAGGAGGTTCTCAATTGGGTTATATTCTTTTTTCTGAATATATATATATATATATATATATATATATATATATATATATATATATATATATATATATATATATATATATATATATATATATATATATATATATATAAAATAATATATATATATATATATATATATATATATATATATATATATATATATATATATATATATATATATATATATATATATACTTACAGATTGGTCTCATAGAAATTCTATGAAAATCAGTTCAGAAGTTGAGTTTTCAGTGTAGGTTTATAAAAAAATATTTAAAGGGGTTATAATTATTAAATGGACATTTTATACACTTGTTTTCGTTTTTTTTATTAAATATATTCACTTAAATGTTATCCAGTTTTACAAATTAAACGAAATCATCGATTTATGTACACAAACAAACTAAATACATTACTAACCATCCGCCCTGCCTGGTGAGAGTGAATCCAAACCGGGCTTCCCGGTCCACGGACACTCTGATGCCGATGATGCCAAGCCCTTGCGGTGATACCACTTGCCCCCGCATCACGGATACACGGCTGCACAGATCGTATGTCGTCAATGTGTTTGTATTGTAAAGCACAGCACACCGCGTGATACCATTTAAGTGTTAATTAAAAAAAAAAATTGTATAAGTATCTAAATTAAAATACTTTATGAGTGAAAATTGAATTTGTATCTTAATTTATTGTGCGTTTAAATGAAATGGGTACGACAGAATTGTGTGTGTTTTAGATTGAAGCATACATCATTAAATAATGATTTTGTTTGATTAATTTCAGTAACATTTAATCAAGGGGTTTTTAGTAATGGGATTCTAATAGCCCTGTAGTTAGTAATATATCCTATCGGGTCGACTTCCACGCGGTTCTCGATGGGTAACTGGTCTGCTTTCATTTTCTCCTATCATCCCTTATTGGTGCCCCGCTGGTGTATGCTGATAACACAAGCGAGGTTACCATTTCATTATTATTCATAAATATCATATTACAATTATCTGCACATTGAATAATATATCTATAATAATTTATAAATCTTGGCATCATATTCGAGTGAGCGTTACCAGAAAACAAATCGCTGGAGACTGCCATTATTAATAATTCCGTTATCAAATACTGTTCTATTTTATTTTTCAGTTAAGTTATTGACACTGTTTTCTATTTATTTTTAATAATAGAATTAATATTATCTTTATTCGTTTTTTATATTCTTACTAATACAATTTGAGTTTATTTATTTGTTTGTTTGGTTCTTCTCGGGTTAATGGCGCCACGAATTGTGAAATTTGGTATGCATGAAGTATTTGGGATGGAGAAAAGATATGCTACTTTTTATCCCGGCCAATCAACGTACTATGGTCACGCGAATGATGTCGTGGGTAAAAATCAGTAATAAAATATATACAACTTATCGGGCACATTTAATATTGTTTGCATATAGGTATGCAGTGGCGGACTTACCTCTAAAAAGGATTATCTCCATATCCAGGGATATTTTTAATAAATTTGGTATTATACTTACTGCATAAAGGATTTTTATCCCATAAACCCCTTTTATATTAATCTAGGAAATGGTGTAATCGTGTATTAAGTTTCGTCAATTCGTTCAACTTAATATTAATAGAATATATATGTATTAATAATATAATAATATATGTATTACTAGTATAGTTGTGTGATATCTGTGCCCTTTATCAAATATGCATCAACATAAGACGTCTAACATTATTGTTTATGGGTTATATATTGGCAATTCCGTGCGTGACCAACTAAAGCCAGGCCGTTCGTCTTCTAAGTAATCGTTCGGTAAGTTGGCTCTGTACAGCCAATTTTTCATAATAAAAGTTTAAATTTATTGAAAGGTGGTTCCAATATACTTTCTTGTTGTAAAAATTCATGCTTAGTATTATAAAAGACATCTTGACTTTTCGAAAAGACACTTTGGAGGCTTTTTTTTATTTATAATAGCACAGCACGTAATAGCACGAGTCTTAAAAAAGAAAAGAAATATTGATGCAAGTATATGATGACGCTTAATGACAACAAGTATGAAATTGAAACATTCAGAGGCTTGGGCTGGGTTTTGATTTTATTATCCACTAACTATTATCTGGGACTTCACGTAACCGGAATATGTTTACTGACCGTGGTAATATAGCCTATATTATTCTCCATCTCACATAGTACGTGTATACAAAATTTCACAGTGATTGATTGAACCGTTAAGTCTTTATAATGTAAAAAACAAGCTCACTTTCAGATTTATAATATTAGACGATTATTTATTAATATTTATTTAGATTAGATATATTTGCATATAGTACGTAGTGTGAAGCTTCAGTGAATATCTTTTTTATTTTATTTTTTTCTAGAAAATTCTTAGAAGTATAGATAACATAATAAGGTACTTAATAAAAATTCTAATGACAAATGGTAGTATGGACTATATATTTTTTTTAATAACTTTATCATATAATCTAAATTATGTTGTGTAAATACCAACGTCTTCACTCCAATAAAGACATAGATTCAATAAAATCTTAAAATTTTAGATTTATATTATAGAATGGGTCTGGGAATAGATCCCTAAAGTACACTCATTGTTACATGAAATTTGTTATTTTTATAATGAAAATTTTTATACTATATAAGTTATAAATAAGTGTTGATTAGTTAAGTTTTAAAACCTTATCCAATGAAACACAGTTACACGACTTACCTTATAACAACGTAATTGCAATCTAAGTTTGGTTTTTATACTAATTACTGTGAAAGTGTATCCATGTAGTACGACCAATGATGTTAAGCGATCAACCGTTTTGAGCGACGATATTTTATGGAAATCCTGTTTTGATGTTCATTACTTAATCTTGCTTTAACGGCTGAAGGGTTTTGAATGAAATTTGGCACACAGGGAGCATGACCTAGATTACATAAAAACTTTATCCAAATTTACATGGTCAAAGGTCACCCGATACGGTTTCTTTAATATACTTTGCGATTATTACCATCTCCACTTAAATTTGTTTATAAATAACTAAATTACCAGCCATTTTCAAAGTAATGTTTTGCTAATATAATAAAATTGAAACTAAACGATGTTTATACACGAATGATATATAACAAATATTTATAAAACAATAGAAGCCAAATCGATATTTTTTACAAATTTTGTCTATTTGTCTACCTGTATATTTGTTTCTGTATTACGTAAAAAATACTCCACCAATTGGGATGCGGTTTCATAGTTATATTCTTGAAGATCTAACTTATAATCTGATATATATTATATCTTGATATGTTATCTAAAAATGGTCAATTCCTTTATTTTTTTGAATATGCTACTTTTCAAATCCACACGTATAAAATAGCGGACAAAAAGTTTGTGTTTATATAAATATATTACACCCTACATATGTAAAAGAAAAGTTTAAATAAGTGAATAAATTCGGTAAATGTGTCATTGGGTTGATACTTACATCGTAACGTCTTCGGTCCCTTGACAGTTGCTATTTCCGAATTTTACGGTATCTGACAAGGTAGAATGCAATTTATAGGACAATGTAGATATTTTATTATATACGATAAAAACATTTGGATAAGTCACTTAGACGCTCAGGTAGCAAAATTATAATTTTAATAGTGTGTTTAATTGGTCATTACTAAGAGATGCGTCTAATCTGTAAATTGAAGATACAGTTTACTAAATTTGGTGTTGTAGCTATATCTAGGTAATATTATGTAAGTTGCTTGTTTAGTTGTAGTATTTATTAAAATTAAATGTTAAATGCTGCCTCTTACAACCCTATCTGGAACTATAGTCATGAGTATATATTTTAAATTTTATTTACATAATGTAGTGTAACGGAACGAGTATTCAAGATTATGGGTTGTAGTTCGATTTCTGATCGGGCTAATTTATGAGTAAACTTTTCTGAAATGGCTCGGAATGGGTATTCTGGGGATTGGTGACCCCAAACTTTCGTTATCTATTAGATTCTCATAACACACCCTGTGTTTTATTTTACTTTTAGGACTGGGTTATTCGTGTGGTTGTAATAGGTGTTATTTTCATGAAATATAACATTTTTATAGTACATAAATTAGGAAGTCATGTCCTCATTTAGTATTAGTGGTCATGCTTCTTAGTGAAAATGTATCACTTTCATAAATATTATGACTTTATTGCGTATTTAAAGTTTCGTTAATTATTCAATTGAACATTAATAAACAAAAATTATCGGTCATTTCAGTTAAACAAATTTTAGGATGAGTTTATGACTTTAGGTCTAGTAATATTAAAAATAGAAGTAATTTTAAGCATAGTTCTTACCTAACATTGAGGTTGTAAATAGGCTGAATACTTACTTAGTAAGTATTGTACAGGTTGAATATTATTAGTCATACTAAATTATAATATTTTATGTATGTTATAATAGATTTTATTCGCAACTTCATCTATATAACCGGGATATATTGATTGGTCAGAATTAATTATAGTAAATGTCTTTTTCATTCCTTAATGCTATATGTATACCTAATAGTAATGATTAATCGAGCCATTAAGGCATCTAGAGATAACAAATAAATTCACTTTAACATCGATAATGTTAAAATTAAGGGAATAATTCCGAAATTAGTTGGACAGAACATATTATACGTTTGGATACGTTACGATAGTTTGAAATCGCTTGACATTTCAAAAGTACGCTACAATTACCTATACATAAAGAGACAGAATATGTAAGACATAACAACAAAATGCTTATAATTTAACTTAATAAACAGAATAAAAATAAACTTATAAAAATAGTCTATAACATGATTTAAAAATGTAGTGATTTTTATAATATTTATTTAGGCATATTATTTGATAAATCAATCAATCACAAGACAATCACAAGTCATACCACATTTCTCATACAAATTTTCTTGCCTTTACGAGGCTTACTCCTTTTGTAAACTTATTATGTAATTTCATAAATAGTAATTCGTTGCAGTACGATTGCCTTACATTTACTTTCTTACATACCTATCAACTATTATATTACTTATTTTAAAAGATTTTGTTCCCAATTTTTATGATGCTAGCTTTAATAGTTTTGATGTCTCCATTTTTAGACTGTATGCTAGCATAGCAGTTATTTAATTTGTATGATAATAGTAAATACCTATATTGTATTTATTTATAGATACATTTCATAAAAGTAGCTTCTTAGTTTTTTTTCCATTTTCTATTTTTTCTATTTATGTCTACTTGTATCATTTTATTGTCAAGTAGATATTTTATATAGCTTGATTTTATCGTTAGTTAGGTTCTTTTCCGCTTCTTTTATCTCTTTATTTTCGTAATAATAATGTTTTTAATCCATATTTTATATATTTTATTTTCTCATGCCCTAAAACTTTCTTTTAAATCACGCTCGAGCTACTATGTTACGGATATGATTTGCCAGTCTTACTTGCAAATTGTTCTCATAATTCGATCGCATATATTCTGCTGTTTTTTCTTAGATATTTGGCTTTTGTTAATGTATGCAGTATGAATTCTGTATAAAACAATAGTTATAGCTATATAACATGGCGCCTCTTATAGAACTGTATATGGCTCGTTGGACATTTGAACTTAAAATGTGGCTACTAAATCGCTACTTAATAACATTATTTTTATTTTATTCCAAAATGATCGGATAGACCATGTGCCATCTGTTTGGGATGAATTGTGCTTATGTTTGGGATGAATTTATGTAAGCAAATGAAACACTCTTGCTTATATATTTGTAAAAATAAAACTCTTTCGTACTCTTGTCTTGAGGATAGAGATTATTATTACAGTAATCATACATTAAAAATGTTATTGTATTTTAGTAGTTGTTTAATTTACAGATACTTAGTTACATTGGTTGTAGGTAATCTAAAATAATCGTTATTAATCAATATATTGTTTAAATAAATGATATGACCCAAAGATGAATCTATTGTATTCACTTTATAATTACGGGTATAAATGCAACAAATATTTTTTAATAATTTATAATTATGAAGGCATTTCGACTTTATATTAAAATTGAAGGTAGATAATCCTCGATCATAAAGATTTATAAAATGTGTTTATAAACATTTTCGTTAATATTTTGTTTACTCTTTATATTTTATTTTTTTATTATTTTATTAACTTAAACACAATGAACTCAAAAATATAATTACTTATGTAAACTACCTTGAGTAGACTTGAATTATAAAATAATCGCAATATACGTACTTACATATTATTATATGTAGTGTCTATGTGCCTACTTACCTACTATTCGTTATCTAATGTACATTTTCAGACCATAACGACTGTAACATAGATAATATTAGAAATTGGTCCTTCAGAGGTTTTGCCTGGGGAATAGTTTGTTTTCTTCATTTCACATGAGAGTTCTAAAAATTGTGTATTACTTAAGCGGATATTATGCTCCTAGAGGAACATATTATGAAAAACTTTTAGTTTGTAGTTATTATTATATATTATATTACAATTACGTTGATACAAAGTCTTAATAAAAAGAGAATTTATTATAAAAAACGACACACTAGTTAATTACTGAGATTTCTCAGTAAAGTCAGTTGTAAAATGATTTAGTTTTCCAAAACTGTTTTTAAAAATAAGTTATGTTGTACAAATAATAAAATAATTAGTAATAATTTCTTTTTTATGAACGAATGAATGATACTTTTATTTTATATGTGATTCTATGATTGCTATGAGCGATCGTTACTATAACGAGGTAGGTTAATAATGATATGTATTTTAGATTTAGCCCGATCCAGTAGGTATTGCAATAAAATGTTCCGCAAGTGCAGCTAAATAATATATGTATACTCATATGGACTCCTCAGTCCATATGAGTATACATATATTGAGTGTACAGAATACAAGATTTATATAGCCGGTTTTGAAGTAACAGTCTAAATATATATAAATGGATACATTTTCTGAAAATTTGGGTTTCTCAGAATATTATGAAAAAACAAGTTGATAGTCCATTTTGTTCAACGAAAGTGTTTTTAGTTTTACCAAATACAAATATTTTAAAATGCATCATACAATGCCGTGTCGCTGGGTCTCCTTATGCATTTTATTTGCCACTTCTGAAAACTAAATTATAACACTTTTCTCTGCTATTCCACTGGCTGTCATGTTATTCAAATTACACAATGTAACATTGTTCGTAGTTTGTTATTGTTCGTTCACACGCTGCTCGGGTAAAAGATAGTGCAGGCTCCAGACAATAATATTATGTGGATTGTAGAATTATATTAAACTTCACAAGATTCTTTCAGAAAGGAATGGGTCCTTAAGATAATATATTACTAATTACTGAAGCTTTGTCTCCCCTACTCTGTTAGCTCAGTGTAATATACACTCTGTGACACGATCGAGCAGCGTTTGTAAATTATGTAACCTACTTTTTGTTCGACCTATATACAGATTCAACCACCAACCTCGCGAGCTAGTGATCCGGTTACTGTGGTCTATGGAATTTTTTTTTGTGAATTTAATATTGGTAATTGCAGATTTTAAAATAATTAAAAAATTCAGTAATATTAGTTTAGGACTAATAATAATCGTAGAATAATGTTATTTGGTCAACAAAAAATTACAGATAGAGAAATTATTATGTACGATATTATTTAGTTCGAATATTATTTAGTTAAACTTTAAACGTCTATTGTACTTAACCTCGATGGTTAATAGAATTTTAATGTACTTTCTATATCTGATATATATGCTATTATATCTAATGTATATGCCAATATTTATAGTATTAAATTTGCATAATAATAATATAATTATGAATATTATTAGTTGTTCAAGTTATGATCATTATTAAAAAGTCAATTAATGTGTGTAAATTGTCGAATCTAAAGTATTTTATCCATCATCTTTTACATAAATGTACCTAAAAGTAGGTAGACACATTGTATGAAAGACGGTGCATAAAAATACAGTGAAATAAGGTATAATAGCTGTTAAGGAAGAATGGAAGAAAAAATAGATATATTTTATTCAGATAATGGGATAAGTTAAAGATTATCAATAATTTATTAGGTATTGATTGAAAAAAATAAACATTTTATCGTTTCGTATTCGTTTACACACATTATTATAACAAAAGTGTATATATAAAAGAGTTGTTTTTGTGCTTATTAGACGTTAAATGAGGTAAGTGAAAATTAGTGAGAAAATACGTTCTCTTAAATGTTATTGTTTAAAAATATTTTGTTCTAAATTATCATCTATATACAGATTATTTATTACAAACAAAAGAATAGTTTCTGAAAAGTATAATGATGTATGTCAATCTATATAAAATAACTATTGAAACTATTAAATTTATAGAAGACTGAAATTAATAGAAATTAACATGAATAAACTTTTGTAACGTATGTATATTCTTAAAACATTTTGCATTTATGGTATCACACAGCGGGCATCTTCGATCGTAAATTGAGCGAAGTAGTGCTAAATTTCGTGTATGTAATAGTGAAGTAACAGTATGAAAATAATATAAAAAATAAAATAAGAAGTCTTAGCATTGCACATTCTCGTACCAGGATCAGCTAAATGCTAGGAAATATTTGAGTTTACGTAAGGTTGTTACACATATAAACAAAACAGTTATTAATTAATTTCACTATGTAATGTGTAAACAGAAATATTCCTAGTCAGGTATGTAATATAATGCATGTAACAGCTGCCACACAAATCATATTTGTAATAATTTTGACAAAAGTATTCTTTTATATTTCTATGTAATCTATAAAATATAGTTAGTCTCTAAAATTGGTGCAAAAAAATCTTTTCAATAAATAAAAATAATATATTCTTAAAGAAAAAATAAAATTACAAATTATTTGCTCAACAAACTATGTATTTAAAACATAGGTATTAAAAAAAAATTAGCTAATAATTAAACAAAAGTAATTGACGGTTTTATTGACAAAGGTATACGTAAATAAATCTTGCAACTTTGATTTATGTATCATGGTTCTACCATTACTCATATTTACCAAAATTAAAACATAAATAAAACCTGCGTATACCTACAGCGTATCTGTATGTGGACATTAATAAGTTACCACTGAAATTAAAAGTAATTTAATTCGTTTATCACGTATTTACATATTCTTACCTTGTTGAACCTTTAACCGAAGATCCGAGATGTTTTCGAAAGGAGTAATTATTTATCGATAATATCAGGTTTGTTAATTAATTCTCGTATCTATTAATATATAATGGTTTCTTATCTATTAATACATCACCTTATTGAGTTACATGAAAATATACTTAAACATATAAAACTTATAGTGCTGATACTGTCACACAAACGAGTGCTAAGTTACAAATATCAGCATTTCTAAAATATAGATATAATATTTATGAAAATATGACAAGAGTTTATATTCAAATGCAATACATTCGTACCTTATGTTAGTCACAATGCATTTTCTATGTATTTTATATTAATCGATACATAAATAGGTAAAAATAAAAGATATTGCATATGAAGTTAGCCATTTTTTTGCACCAATTTTGCTGTTAAATGTTGTCAATGGTTGTTTGGATGGAAGCAATGTAATGTACAATGTTGACAAGACGGCTATCATTTTGCTGTGAAATAGTCGGAGAACATTCAAATAAGTTGTGTTTTGGTTAGTCACAGGGGGTGAGGATCTAAACACATAAAGAGCTTGGGCGAAGGGTAGGGGGTTGGTTAACAGATGAAAGACGCAGACAAAGGGTAAGGAACACATAAAAGGGTAAGTTTATTTAAAGCTAAATTTGCGTGTTCGCTGAAATTTTGCTCAATTGACAATATGCTATTCGCGTCTCTATTCGTATATTTTACAAGACCTGATCCTAACAATTTGTGTTTTAAACGTTTTGCGTGAAAGCGTAAATGATTTTCCTAAGTTTTATACAGTATAACAAAAGTACACCATAGTATATAATATGAGAACTATATAATATAAGCACAGTAGACGAGACAAATAAATATTACAAAAAACATGACTGTGGCTGCGGCAAATTATATTAGAAGTAAGAATGGCAGTTTCGCGTGCACGAAAGGGTGTTTACAGCGGAGTATTAAGAGCTTTGACGCAGCCACACGAGAACATTCAAGACAAACATACAGATGTTACATACACATAGAGAATGAAACGAATACAGACAAAGGAGTTAACGAAAAGTGAAAAAGCGTCAGTGGCTCCATTCGCGTGTCAGTAAGACACGCGAGAGGTGCCCACATCACACACATATGCAGGAATTGCAACAAAAGGGAAGAGGTTAACAGATATTGAACACTGAGGGGCGAGGGCGGGCTGACTGACACTTACCATGGTGTAAAGGAATTCCAGAACTCGCTAGGAGTGGCGGACACACGGCGGCACAGGGACACAGAAAGACAGGACAGATTACTACACAGATACCTACATCCCTCAGTGCAACCACACCCCGGCTTTGCAACCGCTCCGGCCGATTGCACTCGTCTACACTGGTTAACTTGCGTTTTAACACTTGATTTCCTTATTGAATCAATTTTTATGCGCACTGGGTCACAGACGAAGCCCGTTTGCATTAGAACAGCACCACCACTATTTGGATAATTTTGGATTTATACTCCATCCATATAGAAAAAATCACAGTAACTATGAATTGCGTTGAGACGCAATGCATAAGAAACATGCTGAATGGTTGATAGATAAATTGTACGGGGCGACGACACAAATGCCAGAACGCAATATAACCACTCTAGACTCCTAAACTTAAACAAAATAGTGAAGCGGCTCGTGTTTTAATGCAAACAAACTTTTGAGGCGCCTTTGCATATTAAGCGAGGTGGGTTGACTACTTTATTATATTCAGTTTTGCTTTGTCTTGTCAATTAATGAGAGAACCATATTCGATATTTCGCACGATTTTTTTTGTTACGGTATAAATTATAAGAGCAACAAAAATTTTGAGTTTATTATTATATTTACGTCAAATCATGAAAGACAAGTAAAATATAATACAGTTTTATTAAATAAAAAACAAAAAGTACTAGATTATATTTTGATTATGTCATTGTTTTATTACTATTTCAGATGATGAATGTCTCTCAAGATTCGAGTATATTGTATACAACTTTTATTCAAAACTTTAACGGGAAGACAAACAAAACTGTTCGAAAGCTTTGAACGTTCAATTGATCGTATTAATTTCGTTTAATTATAATTATAAGACGCTTTTGTTTTGTTTAGACAAACAGGTAGGGTTAGACACACACAAGGGATAAACATTAGACAATACACAACACATCGGATCTGGTGTGAAAAATAATAAATACCAAAACTTATTAGATGAAAATTATGGTTAAGTGTAAAACATAACCATGCGAGGATTGCAAATAAAAACTCAATATTTATACGCGAGAAAACAGAGGAAAATCAAAACACTTCCACCAGATGATAAAATAAATCGTAAGTTATAAAAGTATTGTTACCAATTAAATCAAAAATAACCACACCAAATCCTCGGAGAGGTTTAGGAAGATGAGCGGGAGTTAAATGGTAAAGGTGCTAGCCCCTAATATTACTTTATGTTTTTATGGATTTTGTATCTTCTTCTTACGGATTTACAATACAGTAGGGCGATGATATCACGAATCTAAAATCATTGTAAAGTGCAAATATATTAAATATATGAATTGTGCAAAACCGATTGGTCAGTCCTAAACCAATTTGTGTAAAAGATATCGAAGTTTCGTTACTAGGACTATTTGTGACGCAATTTATAAATTATGAACGATATCTTTTACGCACATGAAGTGATTTGGTGTTAAATAAATAATGGAATTCCTATAGAAAACAATACTCACCTCTCCGAATATTCATCCATGTGTGCGTAACTCTGTACAGAGTTCTCTTCTATGAGGAACTTGACTCGCTGATAGAAGGAGGCAGTAACAGAAGGAGGTTGCTTACGAAGTAATACTTCTACGGGGTCGTTAGAGGATAGACACATGATGTGCTCTGCGCACTCGGAGCGTGTGCAGCATTCAGAATCGGAGCAGTCCGTCATGCCATCTTCAAAAAGGTAGTATTAATGTCAATGAACTTGTTGTATTTAAAAAATTAAGCACATACTAAACGAAATTGAAATATTAAATTTAATTAAATAAGTAAAAACATTTTTTTAAATACGTTAAAAATATGATCATATTTAAACTATTTTATTATTTAAAAAAATGGTATCTATAATGACCAAGTGAAACTGAGTTGTTACTTTGAATATATTATTAATTTACCTTAACTTTAATTGGTATATTCATATAATATTTTCATTACTACGTAATACATTTTTTACAAGTTGAAAAATGGGACGAATCCATTTAGCTGTTTGTACGAGAAACTAGGCCATGATAAAATTATCATTTGTATTCAATCAATATGCCGCTTTAAAAAACATACTTGTATAATTATGCTGCGTAACTGAGAGCATAAAATAATCCAACTCAGTTATAAATAGCGAAATTTGTCTGAGCAATTTTCATAAAAAAAAGACCCTAAAACTTTTTTATTATTAAATATTCAACAAGTGACCAGTCATCAAACAGTTGATCAGCTTCATTAGTACATATTACTATAACGTATTATCTATTACATATACGTGTTACAAAATCTTGACTTTATTGCTTATTTTTCTCCAAAATGTACATTTTTCCTCTTAAGGAGAGGAGAAGACTAAATAACTCCTGTATTATTTCTTTATTATACTTAAATCAAAATTTAAGATTTTTCTTATAATGTCATACCTTGATCATTATCTTCGTTATCTGTGCAAGTGAGTTCGAGGGCAATAGAACAGTCAGTACCAGCCCAACCATCAGAGCAAGAGCAGCGGTAAATTCCATCTTCCAAAAGGCATTGGCCGTGGCGAGAGCATCCGTTCGGGCAACCAGCTAAACGTGAATATCATATATTAACATCAAACGTATATATTTTTTTACGTGGAATTGTATATTAATATTTTAATTGTATAATATTCAGATTTTTAAAATATACATATGTAAAAAATGAGTAAATTTGAATAAAACCTTAATAATCATGTTTGATTTAATTTTTGTTAATAACACAGCATATAACGGTTATAGAGTAATATGCCTACAAAAAAATCTCTCTGTCCTTCACTATTCCGTAAATTACGTGTAAGCTAAATTTCATATTGATTGGTTAAGCCGTTAAGGCGACAAGACGTAACAAATAAACATTCAGATTTATAGTATTAGTAATGATTATTACTCTAATAGTAAAGTTTAAGATTACTTATAATATTGTTTTAGTAATAATACATCAATGTGAATATTACTTCATATACAGATAGTTCTATGTGACTAATTAATATAACATATTTATGTTTGAAATAAACCAATATTCTGCTTGTAAAAAAGAGAGTACTAACGAAGCGTGCAATGTTTGCCGTTCCAGCCCTGTGTACAGACACAAGTCCCATTTCTGCATTGTCCATGATCGTGGCATCTGAGATCACACGGTCTCTGATCACATAAAGAACCCGTCCAACCTTCATCACATCTACAAACTCCTTCTGCACACACGCCGTGAGGGCCGCAGTCCAACGAACAAACCACTGTAAGTATTGAGATAAACACATTATTATATTATGTTTGCATTTATATTATGATTATAAATAGGATAGTAATAATAGATGTATTTATAGTCAAGTTTTTTTTTTACCTTGAGAACAATCATCGCCTGTGTAAAGCGGATCGCATACACATCGTCCAGCATCTAAATCGTAAATGCCGCGTTGTGAGCAAGCTGGTAGACAACGTTGGACACGTGCATCACGCTCACTGCAAGCAGCGCCCCGCCATCCTGCTCTACATACACACCGCCCGCGAACACAGGAGCCATGCCCTCCACACGTTGGGTCCAGACAATCCTCTGAAGATATTTTTATTGTGAATGTAGATGTTTTTAATTGAAAAATATGTATAACCAATATATAAAAAAAAAATTGCTCAGCATTTTACCTTCATCACATTTGGGTCCTTTCCAACCAGGTTTACAATGGCAATGTCCAGCATTACATTGACCTCGACCTGAGCAGTCAGCTGGTTCACAATCATGAGCCGGTACATCGCATTCTGCTCCTTTCCATCCTTCAGAACAATGGCATATTCCTCCCGCATAAGCACCATGGCCAGAACATAATACAGGACAAACGCCTAAAATTAGATTATAAATCAGTTTAATCAAAAATTTACCGGAAATATTTACCTTTCGTTAAAATTTGATACACTTACTCTTTGAACAGTCGTGACCCTCGTAGCCATCCATACATTCGCATTTTCCTAAGTAACATGATCCATGACCAGAACAGTCATCGGGGCATGAATTTGTGACACCTTCAGCTTCAGATACAATCATTTCAACGCTATGTGGCTGGAGTTCATCATTGTATATCGAAATGAACCATCTTCCTGTATCGAGGTACTGTAATATACTAACATTCACTCTCATATCTGTGGATCTTTTGCTTATCGTATGGTTCCATCTTTGAAATGGGGTAAGCGTGCTTAGTAACGCATCCCAGTCATCAAGATTTCGATGAAAATCCTGTTTATGCGGACTGCGTCTTCTTCTAAGTCTATGGTCGACCCTTCCTCCTCTTATGAATTCTACAAAGTCGTATTGGGTAACACTAGGAGCAACATTTCGTCTACCATAAACTGCAAAATTTGCACCCCAGGGCACAGTGAAATTAAGGCTAACATAAGCAGGTTGTTTATTTCGGAATTCTGAACTCCAGAATTGGTAGGCAGGTATAATCGCGCTATGTAGTTCATCAAACTCTCTTACTTCTAACGCAGGTGACCAGGGTGGAGGCGCAGCTTGTTGTGCTTGTTGTGGTATTACTGCTGATTCTAAAGCAGCTTCTGCTGTTGACGACCATCCTCCTAGTGATGATGTCGATATCGATTCTATAAATATTATATTAATTAAATATGATTAAGTAAATAATATTTTATAAATTGAATTATTTGTTAATTTTATAACGTACCGTCCGACGGTGATGATGTTGATAAAGCATCTCTAACTCCTTGGGCATGTGTTACTGCTTTTACATCTTGTACTAAGATGCAATTTGAATTGTCTATATTACTTTTAATTGACGATAACGCTGTAACAAATAAAAAATGTATATTAAAAAAAATATAGGTCTTGAACTTGATATTGGAATTAAAATTATAAAAAACGATGACATAAGCTCTAAAATCTTCCATTTAATCTAAATGTTCAATTAAAATAACGTTAAGTATAAATCTTATCAGCGACCGAATCGATAATATCTAGTAGATCAATAGTAATTTTTAAAGTTCACACGAATGTAATTTTAGGCGACACGTTTACTAAAAAACTACACAATACAATATGTCATTCAAAAGGTGCTCGAATAGAGCGGGGTAGATGACGTGACATCCCGTAGACTTTTAATTAAGCGAAGCACGGGCGCGGCGCATTTCGTAGCGGTGTGACGGAACGATTTGTTCCGCTGCCGTGGACCCGGCTTGCGAGCACGTAGGTGGTTCAGCGACACCCAACCATTTCTTGCTTAAGGGAATGCCGTTGTCTTCTCATTATGCGACAGTTGCCATCGATCGATTTTATTGAATGCCGCGGTGCCCAATGTAATTGGATAATTCTTCACGGCTCTAACTAAAAAGAACAAGAATTTGACCTACGATCAATTTGGCCAACTATTTTTAATAATAAATAAACTATTTATTATTTGTTATAAAACAGACACATAGAATTACTTATAAATCTATTTTCATATTTTTTTTATTATAGTACTGGTTATTAGTTTCATTTTGTTTTTTACGAGTTATGAAATGGAGTTTATTTTGAACACCTATATTTGATTATCATACATTAATTTATTTTCATTGTATGTGATATCTACTAATTTAATTTTCATGAGAGTTACAATATAAATAGATAGTTAAATAAAAGTTGTGAGGGGCAAACGAACGTTGCTGGTATTGCAATATAAAACAAATTTATTGTGAACATTTATTAGTTTTGTAAGAAGCTTGCGAGCGCTTGCTTTTATGCAATGTTGGGGATCCGATATTTATTCGAGCTGGCACGCGTGCGCAGGATATACGCTTAATCGGTTGGCTTAATGCGTTAAAAGTAATATGTCAATCCTTATAAAATTAATTAACGTAAAGGTTATCGTGCTCTACGTTCTCTAATTAAGACTACAAGCAGATTATGTGACTTGTTGAGGGAAATATTGTAAACATTTTCTGTTTACATTCAGTTCTTTTTTTTTTTGAGCTAAAACTTCTCTGTAGGGAATACAAGAATACAATTAGATAAGTGTTTTCATGAGAGAAATAACGGTTACTAGAAAAGTGACTTGTTTTTATTTTAGCCCCAACAGTGTTTTCCATAATTCGCGTGGCTAACCCCGGGCGGTGTCAGAGCAATTAAGTTATCGCCTCGTCCCTCGACAGTCGCCGATCTATCCCTAAGATTTACACTTAGATAAGGATCGCAATGCGTTGACGCCATTTGGCTGCTTGCGCTTAGAAATGGACAATTTTGCAATTTTGTTTGCAATGCTAAATAGAGGGTGAATGTACAATGAAAATGATATTTTTTGGTTTGACAATCGATAAATAAGTTATTTGTATTCAGTTAAAAATACTTATTTAAGATTGTATGCTTAAACGATTGATGATATTATCTAATATTTTAATGAAAATATTCTACCAATATTATAAACCTTAAAGTTTGTTAAGATGTTTGCATGTTTCTGATTCAATTACCTTTAAACGGCTGAGTGGATTTGATTGAAATTTGGTACACGAGTATTCTTATATTATATTTTTTTTTATATAAATTTATTTCCATACATTTTACATAAACATAATCCTAATATATAAATATAGTACTATATAAATGTTAACCTATTTTTATGTACTGTATTACAAACTGATTCAACTCCGATGCAAAAAATAGATAGTCATAGCTTTCATTCCCTCAGTCATTTATATCATCTTCAAAAAATATTTATCTATCATTTCATATGTAATTTTAAGAGATCCACAAATACTGTAATACAATCAACACTTGATTGCCTCTATATTATACACCCTGAACTGTCAACAGCTGTCCTGTTAATGCTATTGATAAATTTTTCACTATGACGACAGTTATTTCGAAGCGAAGAAGTGGTTTTAAAATTTTCTTATTTAATGATAACATTTCGTAAATATTCATAATATATGGTAATTAGAAATTATATAGACATTTGTTTATTTAATAATAACATTCATTGGACTACTTTAATAACCTGCAGTTTTTAAGACATTATAATGTTTACGAAGTATTTACACATTTTTAAGCCATTGATATAGCTTAAAAATAAATTCAATGAAACCAGATAACTGTTCTCAAATGACGCAATATCCGTCCATGAAAATGAAATATGGGAATGTGGTAAGTCGCGACTTTCCCGATGATCCCTCGTAAAATCTATAAATTTTCGCCATACAGAGCTAGAGAGTAGGAAATAAGGGTGCTTTAGATGACGACTGGGCTGCGCGATGCACGAGACGATTGTGTGCAGATGGACGATGTTTGCTATCTCTACTATTTTTCGAGTTAATACAATTTATTGTAATACGATTCAGCATAGATTGCATCGTACGATGGGGGAGCGAAACTCGTTTGATGGAGTCCCGAGGGATTGAGAGCGACGCGCCGTCGCACTGACTCGGTATTAGTCACGTGATAAATCTTCCGTTTCTCGTGTACGTCCCCTATCTTCGTCTATTATTTACGATATCTCATATGACCGTCCTTGTCTTCCGTTCATATGATCTACGTTTGCGGGAGGGTCGAGGTCTTGTTCCTAGTGAGCTATAAGAAGCGCGGACAAGTACAAATGTGTCTGTGAATGTGTGGATTGTAAATTTAATCCCGTATCTAATTGAAAAAAAGTGTGCAATGGTTTAAGTTTCCATATCCAGGAATTTAATTATTTATGAAAATAATAATAAATTTAGAAACATAACTCGGGAGTAACTATATTGAAACACGATTAAGCATACATATTACGTATATGGGTATTAATTAAATTGTAAATATCCACTGGTAATTCCGTTTTAATTAGGAGAATTTGACGATAAAAAAGTTATTTGTTACGTTTATTGACATATTTCTTGACATTGACGGTGTAAAGGTAAGCATTAAGTTTTCGTTTAGTCGTCATGATTGATTTTAACTATTTACAAAATATACTGCAATTGATGAAGTTCAATTAACAGTCAACCACCTACCTCTAATATACTTGTTGAGCTGGTAAATTTTGGAGTTCATAATAACTGTAAAAACATAATTGTAATCTACTGATATATTATAAGGCGAAATCGGCAAGGTTTATAAAGAAAATTGTGAAATGCTAGAAAGGGTCTTAGAATGGTTTTTAATATATCCTTTGATTTATACAATAGGAATCAGTATCACAATTTAGATGAAAAAATAGTTTATTTTAGGAAACTATAACTAATTTTATTAATTTTCACTAATATTATAAATGTGAAAGTGAATTTGTTTGTTGCCTTTTAGCGCTTTAATGTCTTAACCAATCAAACCAGAGTTTTTTTTTATACAACTTAGAATGGTAAACAAGCTGACAGCCCACCTAATGGAAAGTGGTAACCGTCGCCTATAGACGTGAGCAGTACCATGGACATAACAACATAACACAGTCATGCAAACACAACTGCTTCACGGTTGAAAAACGAATGGGACAGAGGTAGCCAAGCAATCGACTTTTGTACAAAGTCTCCAAAGAAAATACTTTTTTCCTACCAGTAAACATATCCTGATCACACGGACGAAGTCGCGGGTAAAGGTTAGTATTGAATAAATGTGAAATAACAGAAAATATAAACAGTAAATGAATTATTTTAACCTATTATTTCAATATTATGTATTTTGGTTACAATAAATGTAGGTGCTGCATCGTACAACTACATTTAGTAAGTTAAAAGTGCTAATGCTTAGAGCTGAGTAAGCTTTAATAAAACATTTGGGGTTCTCACAATTTCAATTACATTAAAAAGTTGATGTGCTATATTTGCCCCTATATTCAACACTATAAATGTAATGAAGGGTGCAACAGATGGTACATATTTTTTCATTACAATAGTAGAACTACCAACGCGCACCAGAAGATTTATGTCGGATTAAACTACAAAACTGCTTTCATTCGGTATATATCCGGAACGCCAGGAGGCGTGTCTGACAAATATTATATTGTGTTTTTGAAATCCAATCACTGTAAAACAAAACCATAATGATTTATGGTTTAAAAACATAACGAATGGAAATGAGTATAGAGTTTATTTAATAAGCAATTTGACAATATAAAAAATAATGCTTTATTTAATGCTATCCGCATAGTCTATTTGTACATTTTCTTTTTTGGAAAGCAGTAAAAATTAACAAAAATAAGTACTGATCACGGTACTTATTTTTGTTTTCGATTTACTTTATTATTTTTGATGTTTATTTACTTGGATGTGATGCCACTGACATCATATTGCTCAAAAGTTGCGTTTCAGTGGCTTATTTAAATTGTACTTTTTATTTGTTATTTTTTAAAGAAATGCTTATATAAATTAAAAGTAACTATGTTTTGAGGGATCTGTAAACACCACTAAATATGAGTTTGAGATAATTTTCAGAAATCAGTCAAATAGCCTATTGAAGATTCATTAAATGCGGTCCATTCTTATTAATAGCCCTGAATGAAAGAGTACATTTTCTTTACTCGCAAGCAAACGTTGAATTACATTCTTAACACTTATATCGTACTAGCATTAACAAATTGATTGATTCTGAAATATCTCACAGAAATCTAAATGTGGTAATTTAGAGGCGATAGTTCATTCAGTTTGGAAATGTATCTCGTTTTGAAGTGGACGACGCGCCGCGGCCCGCATCAGTATGCGACATGAGGTTCTTATCTTCTATCCCTGTAATTTAACTAGAATCTAAATGAAGTGAGATCCAATAAGATAAGCCTCATTGACTAGAAACACCTTACGTTGGGCCGGTTCATTACATTATTGGTGGCATTGAAATGTGAGAAATTTATTCTTTTTTACAACTCGCCTCCTACTTTCTATTCTATTACTGGTAATTACTTTTTCGTTAGAAATAGTGTGTAGTTGTGCTCTACTCGTATTCCACATAAATAGTGTTACAGCCTTTAATCAAAAACAAGTTTTTAACATGTTCATTTCTGTTGACAGCAAGTTGCCGAAATTGGAGAAGTTGTTTTACGCTCACATCACATAGCGTGCTCGAAGCGCATTATTTAGTGTTTGTTGAAACTATTTAATAGAGCCGTGGGTTAAGTTAAATTAAAATGGTTTTACCTAAACTGTAGCAAGAGACTACGTGGTGCCTTGTCTGTAATTATTTTAGTAAAAACTAACTCACTAGCATCCGCGCCATATTTATGAATGATTAGAGTGTAATGTAAAAATGCGCATTAAAATAATAATACTGTACTGGACAACAATATCAATAATCAGATGCTTAAAAATCGTATCTTACTGTCAAAACTATATTTAAAGATTCAAATAGATGGAATTCTATGTGTAAGTGTATATAAAGTTGCAATTTTTTTAGATATCAATAGTTTACTGAATAGAAATAAACCTGTTTTCCACATCTTCGTTCGCGCAAACCCGTTATCCCTAATCCCGTGGGAATTTTCAAAAGCCATTCTTTGTGTTCTTATAGGTAATATATAGTATGCAGGATCTCGTGTAAATTTATATCTTTCTAACCAGCAATATCGGTAGCATTGATCAATCAGTCAATTTTTTCTGTTACTTCCAATGACCAAATTTCAAGATCTTTTTTGGAGATAGGTTTATATTAGTTCACATTAGGGACTATAATATTTTAATTTGATAATTTAACTAAATTCCTGATTTATTTGATAAACATAATAAACTAAAATTACAGTAAATTTAACTTAATTAGAAAAATAGTTCTCACAATAAATACTTTGTTGTGATATCAAATTGAAATTTTAATTTTAGATTAGGCTTAGAGAAGTGGCACCTGAAGATAGATTCCATTGCCTCTACTTGTAATTATTTTGTATTTACAAGTACAAGAAAGAATATACAGTAAATTTTATTGAACAGATTTTGTATATAAGATATTTATTTGATCTCTCGATATTATTTAGAGATTATTTGGTATATTGAGTATAATCAATAAATTTAATTAGTAAGATACTATTTAGTAAACAAAAAGAGCTATTTTAAATAAAAACGTGGTTGTAATACAATGAATATCGTTTCAGCGAATGAACCGCAATAGTAGCTTTGCGTGATGGAGTGACGTAGAAACTTGCCCAACCCAAAGCTAGTTTAGCGCATAGATACTCGAATCACGTCCCGTGTTTACTCCAGTTAAAATGATAAAATCTTATTTAACTTTAAATATTTCAAGTTGTTTTTATTTGGATTCCTTAGCCAATTTAAGCAGTGGTTTATTTGTCTTTTTATCTGATTGTCATTTGTCAGTTTACGTTATTACAGGAGCCCCATCCGATCTGATTTAAATAAAGTAATAGATTATTGGTTTTATTGCATTTTATTTAAAGTACTTATCAAAGTATGTAAATAAAACTTAAAACACAGGGAATTGATCGCTTTGGAATAGATAATGGCCATAATCTGATGATAGCATTTATAGTGTTGCAATTACTATAAATGCTATAATATAATTAGTGTATGAGAAATGACTATATTTAGTAACGAGTGGGTGAATATCTACCAAATGTCAATTTTTAAGTTAGACCTTCACGAGCTGATGCGTAGTGGAAACCACATTTAATTTGGTGCAGTAGTTTTTGTGTGATGCCAAAACAAACATACATATAGACAGATAGATTAAAAAATGTTTTGGCATTTATAATTCATTTTTTTTTAAATATATTTCATGTAAGATAAGATTAGTAATTAAATACTTTACAAATACATTCATAATTTTTAAATGTGATATAGTTTTGTAAATTTAAGCCTCCTACTTATTATAGGTCAGAGAGATCGATGTCATCTTTGATGCTATTTTTAAGTACCTTTGCGGTTTATCGTTTTACCGCTCAGTTTACCGTTGATTGCATTGTATTCAAAAATATAATTTATGTTTTTATTTAATATATTTTTTTATTTTTATTTTTAACTATACGTAGCTTATTGTTTACTAATTGTTAATTTCTTTTTATGTTCTATGATCCACTTGTTTGCTATTTGAAATTCACACGTCTGTGTTAACGTGGCCGTTCGTCATATTGTTTCATGTCATTTCACCATTAACAAGAAAATGCTTTTGATATACACGACGGAAACCACACGTATTCCATTATGTATATTCATGTTAATGTGTTAGTAAATGGACGCAAAATATTATTACGTTGCAGTGGTACGGCATGACTAGTCGTTTTACTTTATATCAAGTAGGGATTTGCTTTTGCGATTTATGAGGTATTAGGTATGTATAAATTATGATCGGCCATTCGGCGGGTAGGCCGGGATTGCGAGTGGCTGATATATCTATAGTAAAATAATACGGGACGTAGAAGTGTAAGATAATTTATAACGGAGCTAACGCGGGCGCGCCGGGCTCGAAGCACGCAGCGCCCGTTGCCTTAGGTTAGACGCATCATTTATATTTTCTTGATGTTTGTTTAGTTTTTTTTTATGAGGCTCTCTGTGGATGCCGGTTGTGAGATTTAAACAAAGAATGATGAAAGACTAATGGCTGATGTCTGTTTTGGTTGCAACATCGATGTTTAATCAAGTCATTTGCATGCACGATGTGGATATTCAAATTTATCACCTACGGTAATTGAGTTTCGATGTGATGATAGAAATATTTTTCTATTATGATCTGAGTGTAAAACGATAAACGTATAAAACTATTTTATGGTTATTCTGCGAGAGACATCGTTCAACAGTTATCGACATTCCATCTACGGATATATACCTACATAAACAGAATGGTTCATTTAAATTTGATTGATTTTATGCGTAATTAGGGACCGACTACTATATTATATTCGTATAATATAATATCTCATTAATTTTATTGTTAAAAGTTTTGTAAGTACACATTTAATATACAAGTCATAGTGGGTATTATGACTAGAGATTCTCACATATAAAATATCTCATTAATTAATAAGCAAAGGTAAGAATGTATCGATGTTTCTGTATTGTTTTTTTATAACAACTATATAATAAAAATAATATTAGGGATTGGCATTGATATGCTAAATACCTATTATATATTAGGAGTTCTTCATAAATGCGAATGAAGATAACTTACTTTTATTATACGCACATATTTACATTCTATATAAATGAAGAAGAATAAAAACTACTATAAGAACATAGAAATTACACTAAAGCTTATATATGCACACTTCACATGTACGTAATCACAATTATACAGCATAATAGCATCGTCCGATTATGAAATACGGTTAGGTGTTATTGAAACCATATCATATAAACGAATGCACGGTGAAAATTAATTCGGTATTATTAAAAATGAGTATAATTATTTCTCTGTATTGTAAAAATAAATTGTACTTTCTTTTAGCTGAAATGTTAGATATAATCGAGCTGCTTAAACTAAGACCTCAGAGTCATCGCTAATGGTTCGGGAAGAATAATGTTATGAATATTTTAATCGGCATTCCGAGCGAGTTAATAAAAATACTGTCTTAACGAGACTCTCGAACGTCCCGCTGGGATTTTATGAACAAAGATATATTGACAGAATAAATTGTAGTTAAAAAGTTCAATATTTAATCGATTGTCAATTGTCTCTACTCGAGGATTTCTATGTGAGCATACATGTTAGAAACGTAGTTCTCTTTTTGTATGTTACTTTTTAATCTTTCAATAACATAATAATTTATATTTAAAATTCTAATAAGAGGAATAGAAAATTTTATAGCGTATTTACTGCTTAGGTATTTGAGTGTAGCAGGAACCATGTAATTGATGTTTTGAAATTAGAAAAGAAGTATATTAATATTTCATTTAATAAAAGATTATTTGAAAATTTTGTCAATGTAATATTTAAGTAGGTATTACTTCCTTTTAATCATTATTTCATAATAACTTATTCCGTAATCGGATTCAGAAATATTGGGGAAATGATCCAAATGTATATATTTAAATAAACTAAAACCGCAATTATTATCTAGGCATTATCATAACAAAACGCGAGTAAACCGTGTTTGTTCATATTTGTTTGCATTTATATCATATTTCTTATAAAAATCCTCATAAAACATCATAGAAAAAAAAATTGTCTTACCTATAAAGTAGGCAAGCATTGCCGCTAAGATGACGCAAAGGCATATCATAGCTATGGCAAGACATTTCCACGTGCACCGATGCTGACATCGCTTGTCTATGTGGAATCTTGAAGGTGAGTAGACTGGCACTGGGCTCGGTTGGCTGGCTCTAAGTGGAAACACCGGCATTACGAGGGGCTGATTGGCGAGTTGACAGTGCCCGCTACCGAGGGTGCCGCCACCCATGCCGCTGGACATCGCTGCATTGCCCAACCTGGGAAACAAGAAATGGTACCTTATTGATTATATTATATAATTATTAATAAATATACTAGGTGGCTTAGTAACCTTGGGAATTAGAGGAAAACATCCTCACACAAGAAGTAGTAATAAATATACTAATGATTTTCGTAATAATTTGCTATAGTAGAATCGCGATTATTCGAACATCGATTATTCGAATATTTGATTATCCGGAGTTATTCTTCACGGCTCTAATTATCGATTTAGAAAAAAAAATAATAATTCTTGTTTCATTTGACTTTGAAATCGAATATCCGGATTTTTAATTATATGGAATAACCCTGGTTTTATTTCATTCGGATAATCGAGATTCCACTGTATATTTTGCTGATAATAATATTGACGTACACCTTGTTATTACTACCTAAATCGATTGCTTAAATATATGTATAACATTCATAAAGTTTCCTAAAAATTGTAAATGTTATTCCTGCATCATCAGTTACACAACTAACCATAAAAGATATTTTATTATGAATGCGTGGGAAATAGTAAGTAGGCAGCGTACATTTAAAATATTTTTGTTATCTAATTGTTCTCATCGGATTTATCATACGACTTTGTTTCTGACCTGTTTCTCAACCTATTTCATTTTTCTCTCTTTAGTTTTACTAATGTTACAACTTTTTCATATTATTCGTAATTACAAATAACACCTTAGTTCTTAGGAATGGCAACGCATGAAGGATATCATGGGCGATACATTATACTCTGTTATGTTCATGGTACTCTTCATGTCTATAGGCGACGGTTACCACTTCCACTTAATGGTTTACACTTAGGTGGGCCGTCAGTTTATTTGCCATTATTTGCAAAATAAAAAAAAAGGATATTTATAAAAGCTACTTTAATTTTCACGAAGTAAAAACATCTAAAATATTTAATGTTATAAAACAAATGAAATACGAACATACAACAAACTTTTAAAAAGCTTAGAAACTGTAAATGACTAAGGCGTTGACAGTTTTTGATGTAGGTAAAATGTTTGTTTTATTAATGCTTACGCCACGGCTCGACTGGCAAAACACAAAAAAAGTTTTTAAATTAGCAAACAGGTTAATTTATTTAAACGGTCAACGTAATTCTCTTAACCTGTAAACATTTTTGTACCTTGTACAAATTTTACTAGGTAATATAATTGTAAATGTAATTTTATACCTATATGATTGTCGGTACCTGCTGCTGGTAATAGATCTGGCTTGATACCTGTTTATAAAACGTACCCGCCAACTGTTAGCGAAGCGAATCTGTGCCCGGCACCATATGGCCTTTCTTTATTAATACCCGTGTAGACAATCAAAACGTATCATTACTGGGATTCCGATAAAAAAACGATGATCGAGGCGTTTAAACACGTCCGCCCCGAGGGGCCATTAATCAATTATCCGAACTCTCTGTCACGACTAAATTTAAAGGCCGATGCTGAGAACATATGGTGCTGCGGCCGTTCGGCTCGCTTGCCAACTGACGCCACTATAATGACCTTCAATATAAGAATACGCAAAAAAGGAAGAAGAAATAATTGGACCAAGTTTAGCGAGAACGAAGCGTGACTCCAAAAGGGTTTGTTTCGAGAGAGCCTCCTCTCTCTACTGTAATTTTCTTTTGAATAGCGGCTGAGGAACGCTCGAAAGAAGGACGAATTCATTAAAACGTGTACAGAAATCACAACGCCGGGGTATGCGGACTTTGCCTTTAAATGGCTTTGTAAGCACCCTCGGTCAAGCGTTCATTATTCCTTGTATTATTTTAGAGTTAAATGCGTTTATTTTAAATAATAATTATTCTTACGCATAAAAGTTGATCAAATTACAAAGTTGCAAAAGTAGTATTTACGATAGTTTAAAATAAGAATAAATTGATGATAGATATAGGCTTTTTTATCTACTTTCAATATGAGGTGATCTTCGGAACGTCCGTAACTAGTTATTGCCGATAGTTACGTGGCCCAATTGTAACTGTACACGAAATTGATTTTTTTAATCCATTATCATTAGCTACGATTTTATTGTTCCTAATTTTTCGTGGCGTAGATGCTATTACAGGCCGAAGTGCATCATTTCCGCGCGTTACCGAAATGAGCAAAGCGAGTTCATTTGTTTTTGTTAAATGAAATTTTGTGGTAAAGTAATGAAATGTTGCGCAATACCGCAGTGTGTTTGTTTCAATTCCAGAACGGAAACGGCCAGTCTATTTTACGAGCACAGTCAGGTTCTTAAATAAAGAAGATCCCGCGAAGGGAAAACACGGCGAAGACAATTAACGAGACCGACGACAGTGTTATTGTAGTACAGTACTGCGATATTTCAAGCGCTGTGGCGGACGGATGGCCGTTCGAGAAGATTTTGACAGCCGCTCGTCGTGAGTGAGCTCTTAATGAAGCGGTAAATAAATGAGAGGTGTTGCGCTGCACGAGAGCCGTGTCTATATAATTAACGCAAGGACACAACTGGAGGGCATATATCAAAAATATGTGCTATTTCACACCTTTATACAAACTGCAAACATTGTTGGAATTTAGGTAAAAGAAATCGAAGAACGGTAAAGTAAAAAAGGACAGGTAGGTGAGGTTCGTTAGGCGTCCGTAGCTCGTCGCTATCGCACAGTTTTTATCGCTACGATCGCGCGTGCAGCGGTCACTTCTAGTCTCGGACCGAGTTGCGCCGACCTCTAACTCGGAAACCAGATGAAACAAAAAGAAAGAAACGCAGGCACGGGCCGTGAGAACGCGTCTCCTTGGCCGCGACTGCTCTCTGCCGTCCATTTATCTTGCACAGTCGTGCGGGAATGGACCGGGCAGCGATGTGCTTTTATTGCATAGCTTTCCTAAATATAGGTTTGCAGAGGTAAGCTATATCATTTTGGTCCTGAAATAGTTGGGACGAAAAAATGGCTCACTGGCAAAATTATGCTTAACTGGAAGACGCTTCTTTAATGATATAAAAAATAAAACTGTTGGTCATGGATTCCTAAGAAGAGGTTATTAATTTATGAATACTACGTTGGTCAAAATGAACCATTACGAAAAAGTATCGATTGAATGTCTTGTTTTTTATCAGTTTATTTATATAATACATAATGTTTTTGTGTTTATATAAATACAGTATCCAATTAATTTTAAAATCGGTCAATTATAATTAAGTACGATTTGATATAATGAACGATGCACCACCAAAACTAATGTACTAAGCAAAAAGTAAAAGGTGCATATTACATAGTAGTTATAATACTTCAATGTATGCTATATAGAAAGTTTTAGTAAAGCATAAGGTTCTTATTTTGTTTTTGTGGACGAGCTTAAAACGCCCCCTTACTTTCGATTCAAGGGTCGAGAGCCGTCTGGAGATGTTATCGGCTTTATTTAATATGAATAACATATTGTAATAATGTTATCGTGTGGGTTTATTTTCAGGTATCTCGTAACTAATTGCCTTATGGCTCAATGGAACAAAGAGATAAATACAAAGCAACAGTGGGGCCGCGCGCAAGCTATTCAATGATTGTTTCTCATGTATCTTATTGAAGGTAAATTAAGGATAATGTTGTGGGATGGCAATCTGCTGTAATAAAATTATATACATACTGCATTTAAATGTCAAGCAGCATTTGTAAATGTGAGTTAAAAAAGAGTAAGAACGTACAAACAATTTAGTTGGATCAATCGATAGGAAATTGTAGCGCCGCTTTGAAGACGCCCGATCCCTCGTCGGGCGCCCTCCTGCAAAGTCATGGGTGTAAATTCAAGAAAGGCCCCCAATTTAAAACGAAATGTGTAACAATAGCCTGCCCTGCTATGCCAATTTCCTCCCTCCACGAACGCTTCAATATAAAGGAAAGGAATAAAATTATCGCTCAGAGTAAGTACACTTTTTTATTTGACAGTAAGTTTTTATGATTACGCAAAATATGTAGAAAAGAACAATGAATTGCATTTTATCACAATGGAACTTATAAATAAGTGATGTTAATTCGTTAAGTTGAAATTATGATTCTGGCTAGAATCTGTTTCCTTTAGCTGGTACATTCGAGAGTTATCAGAATCCAACAGATCAATTAAAAGCATTCATTAAAATGTATTTTAAAATGAGAATCATCTTATAGTTGCTAATATTTTACTTTATTAATTACATGTTAAAGTAATAAAATGTATAATTTGTATTATTCTATTATTTGTAGATGTTATATATACAATAAGAAAATGTTCAATGCTGTAATAAAGAAATCTACCATTTATTTTTTCAAGTCTAGAATTAACCATACATGTTTTTAAATATTTCAAAAAGAGTACGAGTATTACTACAAGTAAGTTAGGAATACCTAGAAATAGTACTGTAGAATTTGGCTAATATAATTCTCTATTATAATCGCAATAGCAGTAATTAGGTGACTAACTGACTCATCAATATAAAGCCGCACTTAACCTAGTAATTCGAGGAAAATTTCTTTCATGACAGGCAAGCAATAAGAAAGGGTCTTGGAAATTCCATTCATAATTGTCCAAGTATTTTTATAATAAGTAAAAAGCAATTCAGTATTCTTTGTAAAACTAATGGGAATTATAAAAAATCGTCTGTAAATATCGTAATTATAAAGATATATAATAAAAATATATAATATCGTAAATTATAAAGATATATAATATCGTAATTATAAAGATATATAATAAAAGTATAAAAAAAATGGATATACATTTAAAGTTTCATATTTAAACGCCAGAAAAATGAAACGATATTTAAAATTTTCAGTGATAGATGAATAATAATCTTATAAATATAAAAGTTCGTTACGTCTGCGTTCTCTTAAGAAGGGATGGATATTAAGAGGCTAAGCGCATACACATCAAGAAATTCTTGTTTTGTATATACATGCATCGTGTAATGATACTGTGATTCAAATACGACACTCGAGGATTCATTGAACTCGTAATTTTATTAATAACCCATAGCGTGATGTTTGTTTTAGTCGTCTCGT